TGCAGGCGTGTGCCGTCACGACCGGATAAAGCGTGAGCTACGAGTCTCTGCGGAAGGTTGCAGTAGCATATCTACAAATGCTACATTTGCACTGGAAGCCATTTAGGGAGCTGCGAGGCCTCAGTCGAGCCACACATCAAATGTGTTAAGGGTACTCGTAAGCGGCTGTAACTCTATAGAACAGGTTTGATCTTATAGTAACAGATCACAACTTATAGAATTGGTTTTATTAAGGGTTATATAGCACCTTAGGAAAGTGTTATAAGTGACCTGAATTCAGATACTTCTCACACAGATTTGTAACCTGTTATAAGACTTTTTAAGCAGGAGAACACATTTATAAATATGTACTATTTCTTACAGATAGATAACAGTAATACTGCGATTCTATAATGCCTGTTAACCTATCTAAAGGGTCAATCCTGATAGCGCTATCCCCTTCCACCTTTTGAACGTACTAATAATACGTTAATCAACACCTATAAGCAATTATAACAAGTTATAAAAGAGGCAGAACATATTATAAGATGTCAACCTGCTGTGCAGAGTGCGTCGAGAAGCAAGTTGATTGATAGCTACGGGGGTAGAAAGCGTAGATCTATGTACAATTGGCTGTGCCGTACAGCGAAATTAGAAGCGAAATTGCGTCGGAAATTGACCAATTAGAAGCAGCAGAAACGCAGGGATTACGCATATTAAACGCGGCCAATTAGCCCTCTCAGAAGGTCAACATAAGACTAATAAGCGAGGCTAAATATTACATAGAAAAGCAAGTTATAAAGAGATAAATTAACGATAACAAGAGTTATGCAGTTATAGACATCTCTGACTCTTTATAATCTGTTGAACTGTGCTGACTAATCGACGGATCAGTGTGGAAATAGCAAGTTGTTCTATCTAATTCAGTGCGAAAGCAGCGCGTACTTATACATACAAAGTTGCTATATCAAGCGAAATAGCGTAAAACACAGATACCAAAAATACATGTGTGGCTGACGCAAAACGCGTATCAATTCTGTAACAAAACGCTGGTGACACATGTAGCAAAATAGCATAAACTGTATTTTTGAGTTCAACATAATCTAGTATAATCTGGTATAAGGAAGAAGAGAGGGAATAAGGATTACTGTAATAAGTTTAGGTGAAGTTCAAGTGCGAACAGAAAATACTAATAAATTAGTACTACGATTAGTTCAATACATCAGCTAGTAACCCAAACGCAGGGACGAGATTCTCTACACTAATACCAGATCCCACGATAAGCTACAACACTTTACGAACGAATCCTTGCGATTTCACCTTTTCTGGATCATCCCAAGGTTGGAAAAGGCTACACACAAAAGGAGGCCGGCCGGCATCAATTTAAGCACACAACTCCTGCGCACAAGCAAGCAGAGTTATGATCAACTACATATCAACAAGTGCGGGCAACCTACGAACACCAACAGATTCACAAAGATACGAAGGCAACACTCTGGAATGCTCCTATCTACTCGCTTCTCCCCGCAGGGGACACAAGAGAGTAGAATTAAGATGAAAGAGCTCGGAACCTTTCGTAAAGGCACGTCTACCCGGTATCTGACACGAACATCAGATATTCAGATGGCTTGCAGGTTTTATTCACCAGAGGGTTTCTCCTGTACATAGATTACTGTCAACGTCCCTCATGAGCTCAATGGCTCGATAGGTGTAAGAATCAATCAATCAATCAATATCTATTCATGAATATCAGACAGCAGATCGAATAGAAACAAGGCATAAAAATAGCGAAGAAAAGACTCTGTCCTGTATGAATATATGTAGATTTTATCTATGTCCTGCGGACGCTTATAGGGCCTCTATTCGGCGCATGGCAGGCGCATGACAGTTTGAACTCTTCGAACAAGCTTAATGTCCTCATTATTGGTATGCCTTTCTCTCCGTCAGGTGCTATCGAAACAGCGATTTGTAGGTTGCAAAGAGTGATGCATGCAATTGGCGTTCAAATGTGCTTCTTCGGTGTTGATCCAAGAGGAGGACAGAGAAGAAAAGCAGGCACTCAAATGCTGCTGATTTGGTTCTAATTGCTATTGAGGATGTAGAAAGAGAGGAGAAGGCGCCTAAATGCTGCTAATTTGGTGCTAATTGAGAGATAGAGGATGAGGAAGAAGAGAAGAAGGTGCTGGTCGCTCCGCGGCGGCCAGAGATCGTAGAGAGATGCAGAAATGGCTGTCGATCGCACTGCTGGCGGTCAAAGATCTGCAGAGGTCGTATGAAGAGGCAATGGTTGCTCCGCAGCGGCTAAAAATCGGATAAAAGTGTACAGAGATGGCACAGGTCGCTCTACGGCGTCCCTAGGTCTGCAGAAGTCGTACGAAGAAGCAACAGTTGCTCCACGGCGGCGGATTAATAACCTTCAATTAATTTGACGACAGCAAATCAAAAGAAACAACCAAAGCTACCAATATATCAGATGCAGCAGACTCTGATAGAAACAAGGCGTGCGAAAGAGGCAGACTCTGTGTGTGGTTTTCCCGCTAACTCTTCTAGTGTCGAATCCGCAAAGTCGCCTGGCACTGGGGTTTTATTTCGATTCTTGGTGGGGACGTGAGGTGTTTAAGGAACGGTCGCCCAACCGGCGTCGATCCCTAGTCCCAATCGGGTAACGTCCTGAAATGGGTAGGCCCTTCTAGGGGGCCTTCTTGCTAAGGTCCAGTTGGCAGAAGCTGCCAGGTGTGTAACGCCCTGAAGGCGGTCGTGAGATGATTAGGAGAGGGGCTGTCGCCGTTGAGCTTGTGATCGGTATAAGTTGTGGAGTAGAATGATATGATATAGCAGACGTATGATGCTTAGGAGTCTAGGGATAGCGTTGGTGTCGACGGGGGATGGAGATGCCTTTTGCGGAGACTTTGAGCGGGAACCAGACATTCAATCAGCTACACCACCTCTTGTCAATAAGCGTCTATAACCTAGCGATTGGACAGATGATTTTGGGGGATCGCCTTTGATCGCTGCTTCCGCGGATGAGGCTGGGTAGAAAACGAACGGGTGGAAAAATGTCATTTGGAACGAGGCTCAGCCTCCAGGTGGATATACCCTGGTCATGAGGTGTTCTGCTCGGACCACATAGGTAATGGATAGCTCTGATACGGTGGCAACAGCTATTCCATATGGTTTGCGACCATCTGGGCTAGCACCCACGAGCCTGAGTCTCCTTCTACTACGAGACAAGAAAAGGCATTAGCGACAGACTTTAGACAAAGCACAAGACCGTCAAAGGCGATTGATGGTCACATTTAATCTTTCACGCTGTTGAAGAGCCCACGTACCTAGATCCGTCTCTAAGGTCCAAAGCATCCTCGGCGTAGTAGTCCAGGGAAACATGAAGCTGGCTTCGGTTCCATTGAATGCCACTTGTCTCACACCCGAGACTCCAGCTGCCAAGATGGCAGGGCCATCTGGTGGGCTCTGGTTGGGCTGGATCGAAAAGGAATTAATCTCCTCTTATATAGGTCCCTTGACAGAGTTTGTCTGCACGAACCTCGTGTCCTTGATATGAATCAAAGCCCAATCGAGGTCACCGGACGATTTTTGTGACGTAATGTCCACTGGATGGCATAGATTCCCTCTGAGGGCGGGATTGCTTGGACCTGATTGGCCAGGTTGGTCCATTCCTAAGGTTTTTTGGTTGAACTGAACATCAAATACTTACATGCTAAAGGGCCCATTCTCGTGACTCTCCTTGATTGGACTCTCACAAGATTCCTCGGTGGATGAGTTGGTAATTTGGTCCGAAAAAAGAGAATTTTGCAATTCGTCCAGCTGTATATCAGACCCAGATGCACCAGAGGTCTTGTCTTCGAGAGCTTCGTAGTATTTCTCAAACGTGAAGCAGTGAGCAACAGTAAGTGCATAATACTGTTCGCGAACCGGATCATAGACCACGCCACCTATTGTTGTCTTCCTCCAAAGCGAGTATTCTGTTGGAGGAAGCCTGGTGACAAAGGCCAGGGAACCGCAAAGCGAGTCGCAGGGTCCTTTTCCAGTTGATGACAAGTCGGGCCCTGATGCTTCTCCTGCGGGAAGCCTGAACCTAAATTGACCAGGCACTTCAATGACCAGTCCTGAGTTCAGCTCTTTGAAATGTTGGTGGTTCTCAAAGACAGACTTCATTCTCAATCCAATGCCTCTTCTACTAGTTAAGACTATCACCGAGGGAGACGCTGCGTGAGCCTCTTCGCTGCGACCAAGCAAAACGATTTCGAAAGACATTGCGATGTGCTTTGGACCGGTTCCATAGATATGGAGAAAGTTATCCTCCTCCAACTTTCAGCAAGGGGAGTATTTTTTGGAGCCAGATTTCATCCTTTAGTCATCTTTTACCCTCCACCAAAATCGCGAATTACACTTATCTGGCAAACTCCCAATGTAAGCAAGCTTGTCCTCATTTGAAAACGCGTCCCACAGCGAGATGCCTACCAACGGTTCGATGCAGTTAGAGGGTTCATCCGCACAGTCTGGTAATACGGGTGCCTCCGATATGATGACTTTGTGAATGGGAAAGTCCTGATGGCCAGAGACTAAATAATATAGCCTCATTCGAGGGCCCCATTTTGTTCGACTGGACACTTGTCATGGACATTTGGAGATGGAAAGACAATTTTAAAGCGATGGCGGAGGACCAAGCTGTTTTGGCGTGATCTACCACTTTATAAGGCTTTGAGGATGGTCACATGACTGACTAAGTGGATCCTCTCATATCAACAATGAAGCCATCTAAGGTCAACCATGAATGAGAGAAAATGTTTGACGGACTAACAAACAACACTACTAATTTGGTCTCTGCTGTTCAAATACTACCGAGTAGTAACGAACAGGAAGACATCATTACTCCAAAATGAAGCAGCCGACATTTCGTACAAAAGACTGAGACCAATGCTGAGGACATCAGATACCAGTAAGGCCTTTTTGAAGAACAGATTCGGACCACAGCGTCTCCCAACGCCGCTTACGCTCAGCACTCATTTAGTATTCGTTCCCTTGGTCAGCTTCGTGTTGATCTTGCGCGTGGGTGCCTTGGGAGCAGATACCTCGAGAGCAGATGTCTTAGGAGCTGGTGCTGGGCCATTACCGCCGGTAATGATTTCTTCTGTGCTTGGCCGTGGTGTCGTGCCCTGATCATCCGTCTTAGCGACTTTGCTCAGCCGCTTTGGGACTGCTGGATCTTCATTGAAGACGGCTCTTGCTTCTCGTTTTCTAGTGCTGCGACGAAGGATGCATTTGGGAGGCGCCGTGGCCGTCTCAGTGCCTAGAAGAGAGTTCTTATTAGTTTTCAAGAGGAGATTAGGAATGACATAAGGATACCTTGGGCTTGACTAAGATTCTTGGGACCCTTGATCTTCAATTTGATATGCCCCGTAGCAGCTTCTCGGACAGTTTCGTTGCATGATGTAGTAGTCTCCGTAGTAGCAGCAAGGTTTGGAGTGGCGGTGGCACTGTTGCTCATGGAAACCTTCCACAATGTCCTCATTGGTAGTCTCGGTGGCCGCGGTGGTGTCTAACCCATTGACGACCTCAGCATTATCGGGAAGAGGTGTAGCGGCATTGCTCGCAGAGGGCTGGAAGACAGTCCGACCGTTCGAAACCCCCTCCATGTCGGTAATACTAGCTTCAGCAACAACAGTAGTAGCATCTTCACTACCGTCTTTAGTATCTTTGTTGTTAGCTTCAACGACTTCAGTGACCTCCTTGGCATTCACCAGTCCAGCTTTCCGAGCATCATTCTGGATCTCGGCTTCAGTGGCGTCGAGCACCTTTGAGGCTGAGGCGTTTAGCAAGCTAACAGGATTGAAGCTGGTCATATTGACTCACCAAAACTTAATTCAGAAAATCGGCTGCGAGGGTTGTTGACCAGATAGAGCGAGACAAGTCTCCTCAATGCCCTTACCTTCTTCATACCCCTGAACCAAGGAATACTGCTTAGCTTTATCAACCTTGCCGTCCTTCTCGTACTCAATTTGTATGATCCAATCAATCAGGAACTCGTCAAGTGCCCCGTTGACTCTTGTGGCAAGGACGAAATGTTTAGTGCGGAAAGGGAAGCGCAACCACTCCCGGCTCATTTCAAGAATGAGAACCTCCACAAGTCTGCTCGCCTCTAGCTTCTGAGCTGTCAAGATACAGCGAATTTGGAAGTCGAAGTTGTTGTGTCCGCTGGCTGATTTCGTTGGTGCTGAGAATTCCCGCTTGTAGTACGCAGTGTTCAATCTGCCGGTTTCCATATAGTGAACGGCAGTTTCGAGAGCATAAATTTCCAGGTCAGTGTTGCCTGTTACACCAAGGCCCTGCAGGTCAACAGTGCTGATGGCCTGAAAGGGATTATCTGAACCCTCGAGTGCAGTTGCAAAGAGAGAAGGAGACGCAGAGAGCTGTGCTACAGTCAACTCGTACGAGCGTATGCCAGATATACCCTGCAATTTGAGCTCAACTTTTGGAGCAAAACGCCTGGGGCAATTGTAATCAGTAGAAGTTATGAAACCAGAACTCAGTTTTAACTTACTTCAAGTCACCGATTCCCCAGCCGCTTGAGTCGATTATCTCAATCTGGCCTCGAGGACCGTGGATGTATCGGATAATAACGTTGGGATTTGCCCCTGGAAAAACGATATCCTTGCTAGCAAGGTCGAGTCGGATGAGATTCGCCATCCCGGGTTGGGCGCAATTGTAAAAAGGTTCTTGTTTTTAAAGCAATCAGGGAGGTCAAAGGGCCAAAGAAATAAAAGCAAAAAGACCTTATGTGTCGTGAGGTAGGTTGGCAAAGGTCCAAGGACGAAGTTGCAAAGGTCGAACACTTCCTGCTTGTTGATTCACAACGGGGTTCTTGCAGAAGTGTTTCTGTAAATTTACTCTGAAGTTGAATGCTGTTGTACTAGAGAGTAAGCTCTCCATTGCTTCTAATGCTGAAGCTTTTATTCTGCCTATCACTCTCCCACAGTTCTTCTGTTGCTTGAGACAACAAGACTTACAAGCCATGACTTCTTCAAGCAGCATTTACTCTTCCTAGCACGACTGCCAAGTAGTTTCACACGTCGAGATTGGTTGGAGAGTATTCTCTCGTTGGCTTCGGTGAATGCTCTTGACTGATATGGAATGTCATCGGTTTTTAGAAAAGGAGATGGATGTACTCGGAGCCAAGGGCTATGATTGAAGTTTAGAGGTGTGGCAGTGTTGTGCGGAAGTCGCATTATGTTACTTCGACCCAACGTCTTTAGCTCTTTCGTTTCCGGTAGCATTTTGACGCTCTTTTTTTACTGGTAAACGTGGAACTCGCATATCTGTCGTGGGACAGGAGTGCTCAAGGATAGAATCTGGCGGAGGTGGTGAACGTAGCAACGTGTTTTGTAAATGTGTTTGATCCGCTAAATGTATAATATTCGTATGTCAGTCAAGCATTGCCAAATAATGTCGGTTCAGTGGCCCAGCGGTAACGCGTCTGCGTAAGGTAGTTTGCAAAAAGCTTCCTCTAAACCAGTGGTCGAATCTTCCTGTGGCGATTTAAGGTGCGCCCTTTAGACCGAAAGCTTCATTGAAGCCCAACTTAAAGGGGGATAGCTGTATATCGCGACTGCACACTGCTTGTAGTGTGCAATGAAATCAAACACTCATGACATGAGGGTATGCTGGCACAACCTTGAGGAGTTTGTTTCGTCTAAATGTTACATGACCCGCTGACTCAGACCGAAGGCTTCGAGCCCCACTTGGGAAGGACAAGGCCATGCTAGCAGGCGGATTTTGTTTTGTTTCTTTGAAAATTGAAAGTAAGAATTTTAGACGTGAGTTGAAAGAAGAGATTATTATTATTAGATTCAACTAACTAGACTATACCTAAAACATAATAGTATAAAACTTCAATGTGTCATAGTTATTATAATAATTTAGAGCTTACGATGTATCATAACATTCCATTTCAAGTTCAAATTAATCTTTGTCCTACGACATTACTTACTAGTTAGTGTTGCATTTACAACTAAGGAACTCTATTAGTGATATGCAAGCCATGGTTCTCTTAATCTGTACCTGCCATTTCAGGCTGGATGTCAAGCAGCCCTGAATATCAGAATATTTCAGGCCAGTATGACTAAGCCAGTTTGTATACTTACATATACAAAGTCTCATGATGGGAATCACGCCAGATGAGAGGAGACACAACTACAATCGATGGAGAACAATCCAAAAAGATGCGATAAGGGGTTTCAAGACCACTAGTCTTGATATCGAAGAGGTAGGACCCAGGTGTGAAGGTTGAGATGTGTGGGTAATGAGATATGAGTGTTTCGAGGGTTATGGGGCGGAGGAGTATAGATAGGACTTGGGACAGGATCTATAGTTAGCAGATTCTGGCCGGAATTGAGATGGGGTTGCCACCAAGCAGATGTCGGTGGAGAGACGGAATGGCAGGTATAACCTATTTGAGGGGTTTGTTTCGTCCGAGTACTGTGGTACCGCTGATCTCTTACTGCTAGAGGCGCCCGCAAAGGCCGTCAATATGAGGATTTTGTTTTGCTCCTGGGAACTTCTTAATCCTATTTTATTTTGAGGATTATACTCCTTTATAGAAGTTTTTATCAAGCAAGTCAGATGCAACTCAATCAATGACCCCTTTTTCGATGCTTGTACACATTCAATAAACTTACAAGATGGATATACGTAAAGCATGAAGAGTCAGTCATCTGCGATCATTATCAGTCGACATCAGTTATGATGGCCCTCTCACAAATCAGATAGAAAAGAAGTGACTTGGCCAGATTTTTGGTTTCGAGAGGAAAGCTATGCCTATATCAGGATAGTTAGCAGAAGGTGACGGGAGTTGCCAAGATTGCAGTTCAGCGACAAGCTTCCAGGCGGCAGTCGCGTGCAGTATCACTATCAATAGTATCACACTACAACCGTGAACTACCTGGCTTCATCACAATGGCTATAGGCGACACATTGCTTGCAAGAGCAGACAACACCTTGAATGGCATCTTCGCAGGATGGAGTCTGTCGACTACGGTCATTGCATCTCTTCTCTTCGTCTTCTTGGCATATCCATGGTTGACGTGGAAGGATCCAGATACTCACCCATTTCTGCTTGCCAGACAAGCTACCGCATCTCCGATTAGGCACCCTGGTGAATCTGCTGTGTACAGATCTATCGAGGTTCCATATGGCTATCCGCTGCGTTCCGGTCTGAATGTCAAGGATCCTGGGGCCCCGAAATGGAGCTCAGGCCGAAATGGAGACTTAAGGGATATCTGGATCCAGGCTGTCAGAGGACCATTGAAGGACGATGGCTCCGCCGCCGGTCCGAAAGGAAAGCTCTTGACTGTGCTTGGAAGAGAAAAGATTATGGAACGTTCCCTTGAAAGTGTCACACTTGAGATCAACATTGTTGGAAGATACATTCAGCAGATCGAAGGCAAGTATGTTGCCATCTGCCTCTCGAACTCGGTTGAGTTGCTTGCTAGCATATTTGGTGAGTCTATCTAATGCTAGCCACCACAACACTAATTATGGCTCAGCTTGTGCATTTTATGGTCTTCAACCACTTCTTATTCCTTACGGATCATCAACGGAAGAATTCACCCAGCGGCTACGAAAAGTTCAGCCAGATATTTTGATTGCTGAAGCAGGCACTTTGGAGCTTGAGCCTGTACTGTCCAGCTGCAAGAACTTGTCACAGGTTATCTGGGTGACCAAAGCTGGGAACAAGCATATGGACTTTGCCGATACCCCTGATGATGTTCCAGGCAAGGTGAACATCTCCACATGGCACGATTTGATCGAAGAGAACAAATCACCTGCAAGCTCAGAGCTGCCTTCAACCGAAAAGGGATCATCAAGTCCCAGTGTCTCGATCGTCGAGTCGTCTGACAATTCTTTTACTGTCACGGAATATGGTTCCGAGGCAAGTTGGACTCTCTGAAATTACAAGCTACCCCTAACGATATTATCACCAGAATATTGTCGCTGCCGTCGCCGCCCTGATCAACAGCCTCCCGCGAAACCAGAAAATCAGCAGCGACGACGTCGTCCTCCCCATCTCCCCATTAACCTCCTCTTACACCCTTATGCTAGCCTTCGCCTCGCTCTTCTCCCACGCCACCATAGCCCTGAATTCTGTAGCCGGCGAAACCGTCGACTTCGCCCTCGCCGCATCCGCCATCAACCCCACAATCATGGTGGCCTCCTCGCAAAGCACACTGAGATACCATGACAGGATGATGAAAACCCAATTAGGGCCCCTCGCTAAGGTATCCCATTACTGGCAAAAAAAGACCCTGCTTAACGGAAACATGCCCAAGACGCCTTCTTTCGCTCCTCCAGGCCAGCACAACTTCCTGTCAAAGCTGCGATTGCTGTTCGTCTATCATCGTGCTGAAGATCAGAATTCCCCGCGCCTGTCCTCCACGGCGTTGAGGGATCTCAAGATCCTACTTGGAGCAAGGACGTGCTACGCCCTCACCACTTCGGGTGTTGCTGGTGCAATTGCGCAGACGAACATGCTTGATTATCGCCACACTTCGGAAGAAGGCGGTAGTCATTTTGGGCCCCCCTTGAGCTGTGTCGAAGTGCTGCTGACGAAGGACGGTGAGGAGGGTGGTGATGATGAGGAGGAGATGCTTGGTGGTGGTGAACCGCAGGGGAAGGTGAGTCGTGCCATTAGCTATTGTATTATTTCTAGCTAATGAAATTACACAGCTTGTGGTTAGAGGGCCGGCGATCTGTGGTGGAGAGAGGAAATTGGATCTCGTTGGGAAGATTGGGGCGGATCATACGTTGTCGTTGCTTTGAGGGTGCTGTTTGCTTTCTTGCTAAGGGAAGGAGAGCGCGGAACGAAAGGAACTGGCTTAACGAAAGGAATTGGCTTAACGAATGACGAATTCGTAACGATCACAAAAGAAGCTCCGAAAAGAATGGCCACGCTGCACGACTACAGGAGCGTATAGCAATAGAGATTCAATGAAAATTCTTTTTTTGCAATCAAACCGGTTATAGAGGCATTGGTAGAAGCCATCAAGTTGCTATACTTCTACAAATCCTTTAAATCATCGTACATGTGCAGACACCTCCTTGGCCTCCCCTGAGAGGCAGCATTCACTTTCTCCCTAGCCTCCTCGACAAACTTTGTGAGCGCGTCAAGGTCCTTCCTCATTTGCGCCCGCAGCGTTGGAGCTTGCAACCTGTTCTTCTTCAACGCGAGCTTCATCCCCGCCCACAGCGGTAACAACCTTTCAAGCTGTATTCGAGCTTGGCTGGGGTCTTCGTTGATGGTAAGATCTTCTTTGGGAAAGAGCGCTAGAATCTTTGATGCTGTGGTATCTAGCCGGCTGAAAGCAATGTTTGTGGTTGGACGATCTGCTTGCGCAGCTTGGAGCTCTAGCATGATTGCTAGAACCGTTAAATCTTTCCTCATGTCTTTCTGGCCTATCCGCCACACTCTGCCACCGCAGTGCTCTGGCTTCCCGAGCAGCAATAAGACCTCCTGCGCCTGGCGGACAGCTTTGTCCATATCTTCGCCCTTGAACCCTGCCTTTGCCGCTCTGATATGTAATCCCAGCATCAACTCCGTCGTGACTGCTGGATCTGCCAGGGTCACACCAGTCTTCCTCACCATCTCTGCACATCGAATAATGAGCCCTGTCCTTCCTTGCTCATTAGCTTTCCTGACGAATCTCTCCATGTAACCGTCGGGCAACTTTTCGTCCGCCAATAGCATCCCTTCCAGAAAGGCAGGCAGATTCTGCCAGTCCCTCTCATCCTGCAGCAATTCTACTAGACGCTGTAATGATTTTTTTTTGTTGGGTCGCTCACGTATATTCATTGGCAGGAGTCTCAATTCCTCCTCGTCAGACATGGTGACAGTGACGCCAGGGTCATTGAGAAGCAGCTTATGCCGGGTAGGCCGATAGATGAGGTCGCGATGGGGCTTTGAAAGGGCGCCTGGGGTGAAGATTTTAGTGCGGAAGGTCATAAACAGGTCGTCGAGTTCTGGGGTTGAGGAGGCAGAAAATCTTGGTATTGCTATGTATATCATTAGCTTGTCATTGCGAAATTGCAGGAAGAGAGCGTACTTTTCGAATGTTGTGGTGTGCTTGAAAAAGACCTTACCAGCGGTAGCGGTCTCAATGCTTCACGGCCACAGCTGCGGCAAAGAAAGACCCGGCCGAGCCCATTCTGAGCCATTTTGAAAAGTTTCCAATGAGGAAGAACGATGTGTCTGTAAGTAGTATTGATTCCATAACTAAAGTCGTGATAGAAGCGAGGATTTTCAGAGCATCGCCAAAGCCAAGCTCCGCAGAAAACTGGTCCAAGCTTCAATGCTAGCAATCAATCTACAACCTCGACTTTCGTCAAGGTTCTTCAATTGAGTTGTCAGATCGGCATCTGCGCCCATACGGTCCAGCCAATATGGCTTCTAGCCCTTCAAATATGCGCCAGATATTATGCTGGAGATCGCTATTCCGAGACTTCCAGAATCACAAACCCCAGAGAAGGTCTTTAGTAACGATTCAACGCGGACCAGTACAAAAACTCGACCTTCCCCCAGATTTACCAAAGCAGTACTGGTCACAACTGCCTGCACGCCTTCGACCGGATCAAGGTTCGTCGCTGTCGACTGGTTCGTGTGAGTTGACTAATTACGGTTTCAGGCAAGAGAGAGATCATCATACACAAGCCCATCCCTTCCCGAGCACAAACATGCAAAGACCCCGTATCCGAGGTCAGTTCCTCACAAATGGCGCTCCTCGACCCAACCGGTGCTCGAAAACGGCTGTTCGACTACAAGAACCCCGAAGGCGTCAAAGTGGGTGACATTCTTCACACAACATTCAAAACCGGCGAACCGTTTTCGGGAGTGGTTATGTCGATTAAATCACGTGGTGTCGATACGTCCGTTCTATTACGAAATCATCTCACCAGGATAGGCACAGAGATGCAGGTCAAGGTGTTCAGTCCATTAGTGCAGAGTATGGAGGTGGCGCAGAAGGCTTTGAAGAGGAAGAGGAGGGCCAGACTATACTACCTGAGAAAACCGAAGCATGATATAGGAAGTGTGGACAAGATCGTGGCTCAGTATTTGCGGCAGCGTGCCTTGTTGATGGGAGGGAAAGCCAAGGGCGTCGGCGCCGGTCGACTGCGTCCATCCAAGAAGAAATAAGTCAGACGAGCTTGGGAGTGACCAAATAACGAGGACGTTGGTAGAGAATGAAGACAAGCGCTGATGAATGAGTTCTCGAGACCTGCCTTTCCATTTCAGTTTTTCTCTCGAGAACCTGTTTACTAAGGATAATTACATTAGGACAAACTGCATGGTTCTCCTGAGCATCCCTGACTTTTTGCAACGTCTATACGGAGTGCTCGCCTGAGATGTATATCTCGCCCATAGCGACAGAAAGATCGAACGAAGCCTTTACCAAAAATTTCTCATTTATTAGCACTATTAACCCATTCTTCAGCTACTCTGAGTCGCCTGGCTTTTAGCGACGACTGCCCGCCCCACATATCCTCCTCACAGCACTGAAAGCCTCGAACGAGATTCACTTTGATATGGACCACACAAGTGGAACGTCAAGCGCAGTAACCTCTTGCGATAACCATCTTGAGAAACATTGGGAAAGTACCTGGTTAGGCAACGAGCGATGGCAGCAAATCAAAACCCTCCGAGAAGACAAAGAGAAGGCAGGCAAAGCACCGCTCCTCATCCGCAACTCCCCGGTACCCTTCACTCCCACTCTTCTCGCCCTCTACAAAGATCTCCATCCTGACCTTGAAGCGGCCAACTCCCAAGAAACCCACTCCTGAGAACCCTGAAATGAGAAAACAAGCCCTCCGCATCTACGAATCAGGCAAAGATGCACCAAAGGGGAAGCCGTGGTTCCCAATATCACGCGACTACTTATCCGCGCCTCAGATGGTCGCAGCTCCCATTGTTCCCACCGGCTTTGGCGCTTCACTTGCCGAGTACATCTTCGGGCCAGAATCTGGTTCCCAATTTAACACTGCGGACAACTGCCTTGTCATCCACTGTTCAGTCGAGGACGCCTTCCTCGGTGGAAAATCTGTCCTTCTTCCTGCCGATCTGACAGGCTTTCCCCTAAAGATTTGGAAAGTCCAAATCACAAATCTGTCCACGAAGAACGCAGACCTGGGACGCCGAACCCTCGGGGTCGTGGACGGCGAAGTTCTGGCCTTCAAAACCGGCAACAGACCTGCAGCGAGATTCCTCTATTTCTATTACGGTATAACTTTGTCAAGAAACAAACGAGATCGACAGCCTGGACGGAGAAGTTCTGCATCAAGTTGCCTACCGGAAAGCCGTTCGCGGCGACAACGTCCGGGCCCTAGTTACGCCACTCCATGTTTCTCGCACTGGGAAAGATGATTGGTGATGTGGACGCTGTGGAGGAGGCGGCGAGATTGCTCGGCGAGGTGGGACAGGAAACCTTTGAAGATGAAGAGCAACTGGAGGACGGGGAGGCAATGGAGATTGCGAAACGTGCTCTTGTGGCGTGTGATACACGTGGAATATTGGGAGGGTGAGGACGAGAATGAAGAATTCCACTGGGATTTTGATGAAGATTGGGCAGCAATATTCTCAGATCTGAAAACTGGTTCCAACACGTCCTGATGGCCTTCAGGTTCAGCAATGGGGGTTTCACTTCATCATGTACACCCTTTCTCGACGTCCCGGGATCGTCGCGGCTTCCATCTTCATAATTTTCCGGGCTTAACTTTGCATCTGAAACGGTGGCCTGCTGACTTCCTGGAGGGTGCTAGATACACGAGTACATAGGAGCTGCTGTCTAAATAGACTACCGCAGATTGGTAGCGGATATAGGTATCTACACCGAAACCCTTTCGACATCATTGCACTGTGTTTGCTGCCCGAGGTGTCAAGTGCTGCTTGAATATCAGTTGTCGCACCCTGCGAAATCCTTTGGCCGCTTCTTTTGGAAGTGTTTCTTGAAGTAAGGGCAATCGTTCTTCAAGACCTGCATCCACACATTTTCTGGGCAACTAGCAAGCTTTGCAACGAGCACCATTTGCCAATTCTCGTCTTTATCACTTCAACACAACCACAAAGTTTCGTCCCCCTGTGCTACATCATCTTCGTACATCAACGCCGCCAGCATGGCTTCAGAGCTAAGTGAATCGTCAAGTTCACCTGACATTCTCACACCCGCAGTCAGTGTCGATGAACAGCGCGACCATGTCGCAACGACTGCACATGGTCTCGGTGACGGTGTTACGGCTGTTCAAGACGATATGGCTCTAGGTATGGAGCTCATGATCAAGAAAATGCAAATTCAGTCCGGGGTTGAGTCTACTGAGAATGCTCAACCAAGTCGAGAGACTATCGTCGGAGTGATTGGCGAGTAAGTCGAAGTACGACGTCATTATTCAATAAAAACAGCAATAACATCGTCGCAGGAATCTGCAATCGGAGATCTGTACGATTAGTGTCGGCGAGGAAAAGGTGAACTTCAATGCGCATCTTGCAATTCTTAAACAATCACCAGTCCTCGCTACACTGCTGAAGCACAAACAAAAACCAAACAAACCTTTACGTATCGTGTTTCCTAACCAAAGTCCGCCGATAATCCGTGGAATCTTGCAGTATCTCTATGGTCAAGAGCTTTCTCAGCGCACTTCTGATACAGCTCAACAAGTTGAAGAGCTTTGTGAGACATACACCATAGCTGGCGACCTTAAGCTTGATATATTGCAGGGCGTCATCATCGATTCGCTGGACTCGAACACGGAGCCTGATATGAGCAAGGATTTCCTCTGCGCAGCAGAGAAAGTGTACAAGAAATGCGCAGCAAGATGGCCATTTCGAGAATTCTTCAAGCGAAAGATCAAGGAAGAGATCCGCAAAGAAGGCCTTGATGACTCTAGCCACCTCTACTACGCTTTTGAGGACCTCGTGGCTGCTGGCGGAGAGCTTGCTATTGACATCGCCAAAGTCCTTATGGAAGTCTGTACAGAAAGAATTGAAATTTGCCCAGACAAGCTTCCCAACGCAAGAGCACAATACGCAGAAAGCGAGCTTGCCTTAATGTATACGACAAACGACGTATTGCGCGCCAAGATTGCCGCCGCAGATGTTCGGTCCAAAGACATAGAAAAAGCTTTTGAAGCGGCTCAAAAGAACGCAGCATCAAACGTGGAAGTCGCAGGAAATATCGCAAGAGCGGCGCAGCATCAGCGGGAGAGCGCTGAAACTGCTCTTGAGAACGAACGAGCCAGGGCAGATTCTGCAGAAGCGAGATTACACGAACTCAGCGAGCGAGCACTGGCAGCAGAGCAACGGTTAGAAAGTCTGAAGAAGGCAAGCAGCGGGCAGCAAGACATGTCCAACATCAGGGACCAAGCCAAGAATCAGGAGGCGCAAGCCACAAAAACGACTGGGCCACGAACGTCTAGATGGAGAAGCTTGCAAGACGTCTGGGGTCAGATGGAGGATGAAGGTGTTGTCGCCATTGCAAGCAAAAGTCAATCTTCGCCATTCCCAGGGTGTCTGGCATTCGAGCAAGGCGATCTAATCACGAACATCGTAAGTAAACCCTTGCCCTTTATAGGGGCCCTTCATGAGACTGACGAAGAAATGTCCAGGGGATCTGGGACAACCAATGGGTCGGATCCTGTCATGGAAATCGTGGTTACTTCCAGCTTGACTGCGTGGAAAACCCTGAGATGCTTGAAGGACGTTTCCGCTGGTAGAAGCATTCTACTGTGGTCGCTGAAAAGAACTTAAGGGTGGTCATGTTGGCTTTTCAGACATCAATTCACCCTCCGAGAAGGTCCCGATACTTGGCTATGTCACATCGTGTTGCTCGAGTACCCACAGATGAATACCCTGGTAGCAGTCCTAATTAAATTCTGCATGAACCATCAGCCGGTTATGTAATAATGGCTTGTGCAGAGCGCTAATCCAGAATCGTCGTTTGACCTGGATGAAGCCAAGTCTGTAATAATCCTACACATGGTACCATTGCAATCAGAGACGATGAGGCATGTCCTTAGAGCTCTAGTATTCTCCAAGCATCATGGCCTACACCGACCAAGATGACCCTTTCCTCCAAGTCCAAGCGTAAGCTTGTTCCACCCCGGTTCCACCATCCATCCACGCATCACTAACTCCCCCCTCTACTCGCAGCGACGTCCAATCGACCCTCCAACAAACCCGCCCCCTGTTCTCCTCCTACCTCCGCATCCGCACCCTAGCCACCTCCGCCACATCCCCCGAACTGCTACAGTCTCGTTCCGAGCTCCTCAGCACCCTCAGCACCCTCTCTGCCGATCTCGCCGATCTGATCGACGCCGTCAACGCGGTCGAACACGACCCGTATCGCTTCGGGCTCGATGTTGTTGAGGTGGGAAGGAGGAGAGAGTTTGTGCGGGATGTGGGTGGGGAGGTGGAGAGCATGAGGAGGGAACTGGAGGATGTGGTTGAGCATCGTGGCGATGGTGCCGTGGGGGCCGTGGGCTTGGCGAACGGGAGTGTCGGTAGAGGAAGGAGTGGAAATGAATTGCCAGATCCGAATAGTTTTGCTGTTAGTGGAGGTGGTGGTGATGATGATGGAGGGGCCGAGGACGCCTACGGGGAGTTTGAGCATCAGCAGCAGATCGAGATGATGCATGAGCAGGACGAGCAGTTGGATGGCGTTTTCAGAACCGTAGGGAATTTGAGGATCCAGGCGGAAGATATGGGGAGGGAATTGGAAGAGCAGGACGTGCTGCTGGACGAAGTTGACACGCTTGCGGATCGGGTGGGAGGGAAGTTGCAGATTGGAGTCAAGAAAGTGGGACATATCATCAAGAAGAACGAAGGTATGTTGGAAAAGGATATGGAAGGGAGGTTGGCAATGCTAATGGTTGTTTTGGCAGATACGGTGTCGAGCTGCTGTATTGCAGTTTTGATCTTCGTGCTCATACTGCTGCTGATACTGGTCATTGTGCTATGAAAGCAAACGTCAACTTGCTATTCAAGCATCTCACGATCTTCGCCGCTTCTTCCCTGGCCTTGCACCCTCGGCCGTCTCATTTGGCATGCCGTTCCGTGTCGTTTCACCATCTGTCCGAGCAGCCAGGCTTAGCCCAACCTCTTTACTGCTTGGAAGGGAAGTCTTGGTGGAGTTTGATATCTCATCATCCAGTGTATCACGGGTCTCGTCGTCTAGATCTGACTCGGGCGGCTTCAAAGCTTCGACTATTCTTGGTAAGCTTCAACACGCATCGTTCAGACGCTTCTCAACTTACCATAAATATCCACAGCGTCCTCCCATAAATGCTCGGCTAGAAAGTTCGCCAGATCGTATCCGTCAGGATAGATCTCGACGTCTCTCAGGCCGTCATCACTTTCCGCGTCATCTTCCTCAGCCTCTTGACCATCTGCTCCGGCATGTGGCGCGGACAAGTCCACGCCTCGATAATAGAACCAAGCAAAGAACCCCAACCGCTCCTCTCCAAGCTCCTCCATCGTCCGGAGTCCTTGCAACACCCTTTCGTTCTGCCACAGGCCTTCGCGACTCACAGCATCGACTTCTTCTCCATTAATTTGTAACCTAACCGCCTTCTCTGCTTCAAACAATGACACAGCGCATGGCCCGAGACCACGTGTCAGATCTTTCTTCCTGCTCTTCCACTTTATCGGCACTGGATCTGACACGAGGCCTTCCCTGCTTCCCTTTTTCGCATGGCGATACCTCAGCTCCTTCACCAGCTTCTTATCTTCGATTATGTCATTCAGACCGAACTCGAAGGTTATGCGAAGGCTACGGGGGTCGCCGTTGGTGCCTGATTCGCTTATCTCCGGGCGTTCAACTCGAAATGAGGTGATGTGAGTTAGAAGGTCGATGTCTGAGGGTTGGATGTATTGTGTGATTTGAGGAGGCGGGCATAGGAAAACGGTAGACCAGAAGTCTGGAATTCGAGAGATGATCTGTTGTCGTTTGGCATAGAGCGGTCGAAGGGCATGTTCTTTCCGTCTTTCTAAGTTCACGGGGCATTAGCAACTGCGGTCGAATCTTTGTGGGAGGAGTTATGTACGCTGGTCAAGTTCAACTCTTGCGAACTGGCGTTCAAGCTTAGATAGCTCTTCTAGAGCTTTCTCGTGTTCAGCAATCTCTTCGCCTGTGAGACTTGCTGATGCACTATTGGAAGAAAAGCTCGTATCGTTGTTGACTGCCATGTCCATCAATTGTGCATGCTCAGCTTAAGTTATGCCGGCGCACCTCTAACGAAATTCTGCCGTAGGCGGTCTGTCCATGGTTGGAACTTTTTGGGATTGTTACTAACTTACGTAGTCAATCCGCTATGTAATTCAACAACTAAAATTAATTAGTGCCGACCAAACCCTGCCGGACAAGTGGGCTGCTTAGCTAATGAGGAATATCGACATTGGTAACATACTACGGGGGATTGAAGTAATGTTAGTCTGATGCTAAGAACAGCTAGTTCTTAATACGAAAGCATAATGTAATTATTCGTCACTTTAAAGCTTGTCTGTGTGCGTCCATTCCGATAAGTTAAATTATTACATCTAGCTTCTTTTGAGCGTAGCTACTCTGTACATGGAGGGGTTACAAGTAAAGATACTAGCGCTGAGCTAACATTACTTCAGCCCCCAACAGTACGCTTCTTGCGGCTTCACGAGTTGGTGTGTCGTCTTGTCAGCATCCTCGAATACTGGGAGTGACATCCTGTTAGACTACCCACATTTCCATAGAAGGCATTTATATGACCTTCTCGGCTCTAGATTGACGAACCATGATTTTGCTGACAACAGCATATGCAGCTAAGTCTTGGACCATTCCCCAGAGTTCTAATCCTTCAGGTCACCGGCTGACCTTTCACCTGCTATGATGATATAAGCCTTCCTACACATGATGAAGCTCGGTATATTGCGCGTTCTATGAAAAGGTCATTCCTACCATCAAAGCATGAACCTTCACTTCAACACAGTAACTGGGTTCGTATGCATCTTCTCCGGGCAACACCGCGGCACATCTTCAAATCTTGTTCAAAGTCCATTGCAGTTGTCACCCTCAGTAATCAGCCACTCCGTAGTATGGCCACTGCATCGCACCTTGAATTGTCTACCAAAGATACCGGAGTCTTCCGTGGCCCGGTCATCCAAGCCGAGTCTGCAAAGACAGCCAGCCAAGTCTTGCAAGAAAATCACGACAAATATCACATCTTCTTAAACAGTGACGGCTTTCACAACATATCGCTCACCATGTTCTCACCATCTCTGCGTTAGGGGGAACAAAGGAGGAAATACAAGAAGCTTATAACATTAACAAAGATTACCAGCGTCCGCAAATACCCTATTCGGGAGACGGTAGTACAAGCCCTGAGTGACAAAGCTACCTTCGCCAAATATTTAGGACAGCAGGAGTACTTCAGTGACTACAAGGCTTTCTTCCAAAAATAGATTGATGCCAATGGATGGGAAGTTGTCCTCAATGAACATCTCTTTGCCCACGATGAGCACACCGACGCCTTGCTTGTTAGAATGTACGCTGGCTTCTTACATCCCCTTATTCATCTTGGCTTCGGTGTGGAATTCAAGCAGCCCGCGGTCATAGCGGAGGCACTCGCCCAAGCTGCTATCCATGATGACTGGATTGGGAAATTTTTACTTCCAGCAGAGAAGAAGGCTAATGAAAAGGAAGAGCGAGAGGTCCCTTTTTGACCTCATCAGAGACATTCAAGCCAATGGCAAGATTGTAAACGCGCCGCATTGGGAAGAGGGTAACAACATTCGAGATGGCCTCCTAGTTCGAGCCCCAAACGAAATGATCGGCGTAGCTTCCCAGTGGCAAGTAAAGGCTGAAAAGTTGGAGAAAAGGACAGCGGAAATGATCATGGCAGCTGCCTACTTCACTGGGACAGCACAGAACCCTCGCTCACGCCACACCCTCACGATTTGTTGCCTCTATAATTTAGTGACAACACTAAGCCAGCCAATAGGAAAGCTGATTTTGTGTCATGTCTAAATCGTAGATTATGAGGCATATATAAGTCATATGTCTCAATGACTCACTATGACAAAGTTAGCAATTAACCTGGCCAATTAAAATCAAACAACTTATCTGATTAAAATCTGAATGTCTGTTGAAGTTCTCACTCTGTGGTATTGTGCATCCTCCTATCTAGATTTTCTAGTAACTACCTAAATAGGATTTTCTGTGCCATGGCACAGGAAATCAAGGCACGTGACGCGCCAGAGTGGCGCTAAGCCGCTTTGGGATTTGGCTGTACATGTACAGCCAAATCATCTTGGCAGTTGCGGCAGCTCGCGCTGCCCTGCAAGGAGGTTGTTAGCCATACGGCCGTACCAGCTAAAGCTGTGTTGCTCGACAATGTCTGATATCTCCGTTAACTCCTTTAATCCCGGATTTTGGCTTGTAATAATGTCAAATTTCTACATGTGAAGATTTGAAGAAGAAAAAACTATATAAGCTTACAAATTTTCCACCTAACTTGAATCCATTACAACACCACAATTCAAATAAGAATAACTCTAAAACAAGAATCTTCAAACTATCCTACCTTTCTACCTTACACCTACAAAAAGCATGGCCTTTCAACCAAAATACCCAATTATTGCTCCAAAACCAGTTGCACCTGAAAAGCAAACCTATATGCACACACCTATTATCCAACAAGCTGTGTATAAGATGCAACAAGCATCTGAGAATAAAGAATATATAAAGTCGGATGGGTAATCCTTACCATATTGAGGAAATATTTTACCATTGAAGACAATTGGGCCATCACGCTAGAATTCCGGGTTCCTGGAAAAGATAGGCCATATTTTTGCCTTGAAAAATTTACACCTGATGAAAATATCAAATTCGGACCCAAAATTTCTGTTGAGATCAAGAGTATTATAGGAGATAATATTCAAAAAGCAACAGACCAGGTCACAGAAGCTTTGCCAGTAACCTTAGATGAATTAGGGTGTGAATTTGACTGTTTTTTGATTGTGGTACCGGGGTCAAGGCTAGCCTTTTACGAATATCACACAACGATCGAAAAAACCTTGCGGAAGATAGCCTCAAACACTATCATGGAGCTATTCCTTTCAACCATCCACAGGTTGAACCTCTCCCAGCTGGACGACCAAGTTACCTTGGTTTTGGGGGGATTTTCCATACAGAGATGAAAATATAGATGATGTTGCCCAAACAGATCAAATTCGACTTTTACTATATGCATTGCATCAATTTTTCTCAAGCAGGAGTGGCTAAGTACCAGCAGTAAGATCCGTCTCCTCGAGTGGAAAGGGCGACTCGACCTCGCCATGTACACATCCAGAAGAGCGCCCAAGCTGCTGGTAAATGAGATCACGAATTATACTCCAAAAGAGCCTAGTGACTGGGAACAAATCTTCAAGAGGGTTGACCGCCATAATGACTATGGTCATGCTGCTAAGTTTATCCGAGCGCTGGCACATGGTCAAGAAGCGTGTGGTCCGTTCGAGAAGGAAGAATCGTGGCCGATTCAAGGAAGCTCGTGGTTGCAGCTGGTGCACATGGTTATTGACTCGGTCGAGGACGATGGAAACCATTGGGTAAGAAGCGCAGGTTTTCCACAAGCTTGGGAACAATTCCATGACAGAGCCAAACTTGAGAATGTAAAAGTACCACGTTAATATCCGTAACCATAATGAGATTGATTGGCAATAATGTCGTTTGGTAATATTCTGTTCCATCTACTCTACGGAGTATTTACATATATCTGCCATGATCTACTCCGTACACCTGATCCATACCCCTCATCGGGGGCTTGGCACATGGGAGTCGAGGCGTCATATCGTCGTGCTTCTGAAGCATTCTATCAGTCGAATATCACCCAACCCCTTCAGCGATCAATTCGGAGATTCAAGGCATATCTATTCTGACTGTGTCATGTGTGATGGCAGCCTCACCAGAACCTCCTTCTGGTCCCAACCAAACCTCGTCCTCTCCCCACGCCGCCTCTCCTACCATCGACACTGAAAATCCATTCATAGCTTTTCGCCGTTTCGCTGATGCACAGCTATCTTCTCTCTTACAGTCTGTCGTTGATCTGCCATCTCTGTTTGCAGAGCCTATTGCAGGCGAACAATGGTCCAGTATTGATGATTTCAGGGCCAAACGCAGAGAAGCGAGAATTCAAACTCGTCAACAGTGGATAGCAGAGACGGAACGAGATTTACACGCGACGCTAAGTGGGGACAATTCCATCTCCAGACGGCGGGAAGAAGAGATGCAGAAATGGGGCGCGTCCCAGAAATCAGCTAAAGTGGATCAGCCTACAGAGGAACAAAAGCGAAACAGAAAAGACACAAGGAAGAGACATGAGAGCATGGGTTGGGATGGAAAGCAACGAACGGAATCAAATACCTGGCCGAGTAAAGAAGGAAAGAAAGATCGAGAAGAAAGATTCACGGTGTCGACATCTGAGGGCGAGGTTAATCTAAAACGTGTTGTTGACAGTTGGGACGAAGGTCAAGGATTCTGGATGGCGAAAGACGATCCAAGACTACGATCCAACACAATAACGGGTCAGGATCCGTTTAGTGACCCAGATCAAGCAGTCTCCTGGCTTCTCACGGACAGCTACTCGCCTCTTTACCTTGATCGGTCAATGCCATATAGGTTACACCCATCCTTTTATAAAAGTGATGCAGGAGACTCCTACTTCCGTGGAGACTACCAGCCCGGAGATCTTTATCCGCGCTTCGCCTCGAACTCGGTAACGCGCCACGACCCGCGTCTCGCTGAAAAAGTTGACTGGCGTGCTGCATTTCATGATTTGTTAGATATTCACCATAAAGGCTCATCTTCGTCACCAACTCACATCAGCAACAGAGTTGGCAGCTTCTCTAGTGCGTTTAGCCCAGGCTCTTGGATTTCGTATTTGATTGGTACCGGCTCTCTTGGCTCACAATGGCAGAGGCTATCAGTTCCAGATTCAAACTTCCACCCATATCGCTTCTGTTATGATAATTCGCCAGAAGCATGGGCAGTGTTGCCCTTTCAAGGCCGTTTCTACGTACGGGACAAGATGGGCAATTCTCCTCTGGCACCATTTGGAGAGTACGAACCGAAGAACGATGCTTTAGCTGTTATTTCTGAAGCGCCCAATTGTACGACGGGTGAAGCGTTCCCGCGCGATCAGTTGACGAATGGTAGCATCTTTGCCTCCAAAAACGTTGGGCAACGTGAGGCACCGTACTATTTGGATGCTCAGAAACAAATGAGAAAGATTGGGGAGACAATGGATGACAACGAATGGCGTTCTTACCGGCCAGCTTTTACCAAAGCTGCGATTTCGCTCATCCGAAACCCTGACACAGAACAATCAACGCTACGTGCCGTTGACAGAGTCCTTCGCATGATCGAAAATTCAGAGCTTGAAGATGAAGTTGAGTCCATCCTTGCGAAGACATTCTCAGGCATAGATTTTAGGTCACAGAAGATTTTCAAAGAATGGTTCAATGAGGCAGACGATCTTTTACGCAGTGATTACTTTGAAGCATGGAAAGCTGCCAAGGAATCAGTGGATTCTGAACACCCTGATGTATATGGTGTCAAGACCGCCGAACCTAAGAAGACCTCAAAATCGCCCTCGGTACAATCATCTAATTCCAGCAGCCCCCCCGTTTCGAAGTCATTATGTGACTCAAATTTCTCACCATCTTTCTCTTCGTCCTCGTCATCTTCGCACAACTACGAATCCATTAGCAACCAGTCTCCGACCTCGATTGTTTCAACCCTTAGCACCATAGAAACCCGTAGGCTGCCGGATGGTCGTACCCAAATCAGGAGAGTTCTGAAGAAGAGATTCGCGGATGGCAAGGAGGAAAGTAGCGAAAGTACGCAGATTCAATCCGGCCGACCAAGTTGTGGTGTTGGAAGAAAATCCGTGCCCAAGAAGCCAGAGGCCGAAGTCACAGGAAAGTCTGAGCCTTCAGTGGTCCCAACACGGGAAAAGAACTGGTTAAGAGGATGGTTTTGGACTCGATAAACATGCGAAGGATGGGAAAAGCCAGTAGTATGAGCTGACGCTAGACCCAATCACAGTGACGTGTAATAAAATCTCTGCAAGTAGGTAGCCAACCGTGCAACCGAGCGTGGTGTAGCGGCAAGGAAGCCATGGGAAGTTTGATCTGCTGAGTGGGAGTTTGGTTTCTTTCAAAGGCGTTACGATATACTGCGACTTCAGTATTCAGCTCCGCATTTCAGGTTTGTTGGGAGTAGTATTTCAACGCTATCCGCAGGCGAATCGAATCAATACACATCACTTTCATAATTAGTTAAACGTCAAGTGCGTGATTTGCATCTCACTCCACTTTGCCAGCTAATCAACATTAGCGCACTAGCATGTTACTTGAATTCTTCTGTGGAGACCGCTGTGCTAAGAGGCAGAGTAATATTGGAAGCGGAAGGTGGACCACTGTCCCGGAAAGGCCGTCCCGAAGGTTGATTAGCTTGTGGGATGGGTAATTTCCAGCTGATATTGATCGACAACGAGGACTTCCATGCTTGCAGTATCGGCAAACACCAAATCCGATCTTGCGGTGCAGAAGATGGCGTAGAAAGCTTTCCTCAATATCCAATCAACATCGTGGTCTGTGCCAAGAGCAAATCCCTGTGAGCTTTCTCCAACTCTAATTCTGGGGACAGAACAACTATCCTCCATCAGATCTCCTCTAACATGATGATTATTGACCAGATCATGAGAGAGAACGATGACCAGATCTCACAATTTATGCTACGGTATGTAGTACCTACGTTCTGATACCTCTGTTCCTGGTAAACGCTCCAGATTTCTCAAAGGATCCCTGCACCGGCAATCACGGTAACTACGCATTCTCGAAGCACAACCGCCTTTTAGCCATACCAGAAGCCTTTTAATGATACGTAGTACACTCTTCATTCAGCATCCCACAGCCTGTGCGAAAGACCTCGATGCTCCATCCCAATTCGAACCTTCAAAACGTTAGGAGCGGATCGCAGCCGGCCTGGCAAGCATTGAGGCCCTGTCTACGGTCCGTCAGCCGAGCTCCCAGTTCTCAAGTGAAGGCACGAAGCCTGGCGCCATTAAACCCCCAACCGTACAAGCTTCATACATCAACGGGCGGGGGTAGTCCTTACATCACTTGTCTCCGTTGATCATACGGTACCCCTTGGCGTGGGCCCTCTGTCAGAGAAGGCGCCTTGTTCAGGGCCGACATTCGTCTCTGGTCCAATCAGGCGGGCCCTGACGCTTCAATCTTTCACGTACATCATGCAACGGCATCTGGACCCCACTACGAGCCGGTGCCGGACCTTTTAGCAGGGACGGATATGGCGCGACAGCGTCGCCCAAGTGAAGTTCAAGGGGATAGGATTGGCTGGTTGAGCCAAGTCCTGCCCAGAACAAGGGAGTGTCTGCTGCAAAGCCCCCGATAACCAGTCAAGATAAGTCCTTCTGTCACCGAAAGAAGTCTATGTCTCACCATTGGAGCATGCTGCCCCGCCAAAGGCCGGCTTACTTTAGCAGGTATATATCCAGAGAAAGCATTTCGCAGTAAAGTAGATGCACACGTGGCGCATTTTTCGCCCTACAGGCCTCTTACAATCACGTCCGGTCATGCACGTACGAAGGGCTAATCGTGCAAAATTCTCCATGGGCTCAAGAGTCGAGATCTCAGCTTCGGTACGCTGATTTGAAAGGCCCAGGTGTAATCTAGTCTACTCAGTCCCAAGAAGAAGATGGTTCCTTGATTCTATGGTACCATACGTGTTACCAGTTCCTCATCGCAATCACTCGAACCCTACTGAGGATCTGCTACAAAGTAACACAATCCAATTGGCTGTAAGTGGTATGTTTTGCGCACACTCAACTCCATGAGAACGGTTCCGGAAGTATTGTGAAGGGCAATTCCCTTACATTAGGCAGCTTTGTGGGCTTCTGCTTATGCTTCGCTCGCTTCCATCTACCGAAAACAGCAGTTGGAGAAGCGCAACCTTCAATTGTGCGCGCGCGTGTGTGTGCGTGTAAGAGAGGAGGGGAGAGGCAACCTGACTAGGTTCGGTGACTTCTATTCCCTTGCGCTGTTATCAGTTCGACTCAGAGCTGTTAGATAGCTGTCTGGCCATGACTGAGACAGACTCATATTGGATTCAGCGCTGATGTATCTACAAGCCTGTAGGCCAATGCCCGATGGTATGTCAGATCTAGCTTAGCTGTGATGTTAGTGCGCAAGGAAAGAAACCCTGATTATCTCTCAGCAACAGTGTCGCACTTTGCTTACAGAAAGAAATTACTTACCATACTGGTACCTTGCTCCCACATCTGAAGGGAAAAGTGTGCCTTGGCTTGTTTCGAACTTGAAACCGATCTTGTATTTTACGAAGGGCTGTCAAGAGGTGAAAAGAATTTGATCTGTTACCCGGTCTCCGTCATCGAGCAAAATGGGCTGCACTCGTCGTTATTCTGCACCTCACCATGGCTTCGAATCGACGAGGTGATCCAGGGCACCGCTCACCCCCACCGTCACCTTCTCCACCACAGTCACTGGCCGCCAGCGAACATTCTGGTCGTTCGAACAAGCCGGTATGTCAAGTCTGCGGGCGTCAATCTTGCCAATTGACGACCCATCGAGATTATGCGAGGCGCGCCGCTGTACCGCCTACACGACCCAGTTCTCTGTCAAAACCATCGCCAAAGGAGCAAGAACCCAATTTTCCCATTGAGATGAAGGCAAACATGCGCCAGCTTTACCATCATTGTAAGTCTAGCGCGGCCACCATGACGTTTCAGTGGATCATGCTCACGGGTGTGTCTTAGTCTTCACTGTAGAGATTCCGCGTAGGGAAGTGATACCGCACCCCACTGGCGTATCAAGAAACCGCGCCATGTCCCAAATATACTCGTCGTTGGCTGAGAAATGCCCCTCACTATGTTACAGCATTGTTGCCTTCGCAGCATCCCGCATCGCTAGTAGTCAAGGTGCGGTAGACGATCGGGCACTAAAGCACTATTCGCAGGGCGTGAGAAGTCTTGCGGACGCTGTTAACGGGCCTGCCGCTGAAAGCGTCACACTGGCAGCACTAACATTACTTCAACATGACCTCATATTCTTCCATGCTCGGGCCATAGACACCCATATCGAAGGGATATATACCATGATCAACAAACAAGGAGGGTTGGCTTACCTCGATGGAACGATTGGTCAGATTGCGCTCACTTGTGATTACCAGGCCTCCATGCTACTTGATCGCGTCCCCAACTATCGGCATCCATCTCTGCCGGATGCAAGGCCTCTTAATGCGCCTGATGTTACGAATGGGCAGTCCTTTCCGACTTGCAGTATATGGCCCCTGGTTGATCCTCGACTGCGGGAAGTTATCCAAGATGTTTGTCTTTTGATTGAATTGCTTGAGCGCTCACGTCATTATCCCACTACAATGGGTGATTACCAATTCTTTGGCTACAAAAGAAATGTCATCGAAAACGGGCTGGGTTTTATGTACGCAGAATTCAACGGCTCGGCAACGATCAATGAATGCCTGTGCTTGGCCGTCATTCTCTTGCAGAGCATGACCATTGGCGGCATTGACACGATCCATGGGGTCTTCGATCATCTCATACCGAAATTAAAGGTTGCCGTGGGCGACATACACCTGAAAATGGGCAATCTGTGGGCCACGGAGACGCAGATGGCCATCTGGATAATGTTCATTGGGACTGCGATCCCTGACGTTTACAAAAGGTTCCGGATCGAATTCTTGGACAAGGTTAGTAGGATGCTGGAAGCCACCTATGGGAAGGAGCTTCCCAACTCTAAAGCCCGAGTCCGCGCCGGCCTGTCCAAGTACATTTGGTGTGATTTAATGCTCAGCAAAAGATTCAACAAGGCCTGGAAAGAGCTTATGAGCTTTTCTCCTCAACAAGGCGCAGACACTGCTGACTCTGACAGTGGGAACGACGATGGCAGCAGTCAGGCTACCGCAGGGGAGGCTGGTAGCATCGTTGCCGGCTCTGCAATGCCCAGCGGTGCAAACCTCCCTCGAGATGAACCGCAAGCTGGTGGCAAGGGCAAAGGACGAGAGCGGCGGCCAACCTGATAAGAGACGGCGGCAACGGAACTTGAAATATCACCAAGGCGCAGCACCATCCAATTATTCCGTCCAAGTAAGGGGCAATCAAATTACTTCCATTCAAATCAGACCCGAAGCTCGGGAGAACGTCCACGAAAGTTCAAGGCTGTTGTTCACAATGCAGAGGTCATGGTAGTTGCCCAGGAACAGAATCCCGATGGTGTCTTACAGGTCGCTTCCACGGATCGAAAAGAGATGCATCTTCGTGGCCACGGTGCTCATCAAGACGATACCACGCCAGTGAGGCTTGATAGACGTTGCATTTGCATGGCAGGGTGATTTTCCTATTGGCACTAGCTAAACCTACCTTATCGTACTTGCTCGAGGTAAGTGCTTTTATGTAATGCTCCATACTAATGAATTCTTTCCCTCTCCAGCCACTAGATTACGTTAGACGTCAAGCATTTGCGGGAGCGGTGCTGAACGCAAGCATGGGTATATCCGTACCTAAACCCATCGCCAAGGATCTGGGCTGGCCCATGTGGACAGTGCTTCGTAACAGCTGGCAAGCGCGAGCTTTGACTCGCCTGAGCTTCATGCTCAAGTTTGGCCGCGAACAAGCCTTCGGCCGAGCCCTATTTGTCAGAATTTGTGGCGTTGAGCTGGCACGATTTCCAGAGCCTAGGCCTAGGCGGCCACAAAACTGTCAATCAACCTCGTTCTTCTCGTGCAGGGGTCTAGGTCAACATTCTTTCCATAAGTGCCACCATTTTTCTCATTGCGCTCAGATGATCCCCCGAACTTCCTCGTCCTCTATGTTTGAGAGACTGAGGGCGTTAAATCTCACCTCTCTTTACAGTAGTAAAGCTACATACGGACATTTCTTGTACATGGCGACTTTTGGCCTGTGTGGTTCCAATGGATTTCTGGACCGCGCATAAAAGAGTAATACGAGGCTCTCCAAACAATAAGGCGTGTTTTGCCTGCACACGCAGTGCGTTCAGGACCCTATCTAGCAGGGAGGATACAGCAAGCCAGTTTCACAATGCTGGCAGGTTGTGTTCCGCAGCGGCTGGTGGTCATACGCCGGTCCCGTCCGAGGAAGGGGAAAGGGATTGGTGCGATATGGCGGCTGTTGAGGAATTCAAGAGCTTGGCATGCAGTCCGCTACCTAGACCTCCAGGCCTGCAGAGTGTTTAAGCATGGTCCGATCCGATCCTTCGCGCAGACTCTCCCAGCCTTCCTCCAATAAATCGGCTTCCATTCGACGAGTAGGATGCAGAGCTATTAATTAATCTGCAACAAATCCAACCTCAACCATGGTAAGAATGTGGAAAGCTCTTCACACCAGTGGTCAACCACCACGAAAACTTGTGCACCAGCATCTCAAGGAAGCTTCAGAAAAAGGACACGAAGAGCATCAATATGACGTCTCATGAAGAAAGCACGGGACCGCCGGCTTATGACTCTGACAAAGCCGCTCTCGAACGTGCTGGCAAGAAAGAGGTTTTAAAGGTATGCCTGCAACAGCTTAGGCCATATTATTTTTCTACCAATCCAGAGCTGCTATTGACGTTCCATGTAGCGGGAATGGGGCTTCTTTGCCATGTTGATGTTCGGCTCTGCCACATTATCCACATGGTCAACGCTCTCGATCTCGCAGAATCTCACCTGTTTCTCATCCTTCTGGCAGGGAGGCCACGAGCGCCGTCTTCGTGAGCGCGTATACCAACGGAGGTCCAGCATCTGTTGTATACGGTTTTATCGTCGCCGTTATTGGCACCTTGGCAATCGGTGCCTCTTTTGCTGAAATGGCATCGATGTGAGTCTCTCTTTCCCTTATAGTGTTATAGATGCCTGATAGTGTTCGTCAACAGCTCTCCTATTGCCGGCGCGCAGTATCACTGGACAGCCGAACATTCTCCCCCGAAACTGCGTGCAGTTCTAAGCTGGGCTCAAGGGTGGATTACTGTTCTTGCATGGCAAGGTGCAATAACATCCGTCTGCTTCCTCTGTGCGTCAATGACACAAGGGTTGATCATCTTCAACGACCCAACCTATGTTCCCGAGAGATGGCACACAACTCTGTTAATGATAGCACTTGGTGGACTCGCCGTAATGGGATGTACAGTTGGCAAGGCACTGCTGCCCCTCTGGGAATCGTTGGCTGGAAGCTTGCATGTGTAAGCGCTCCTTATTGGCACAACAGCTGAAGTCTCCCTAAGTAATAGGAAATTGCAGCATTTTGTTCTTCATTATCACAGTCGCCATCCTAATCACCAGCGATAAGGCCGATAACAGGGCAGTCTGGGCGACGTTTGTCAACGCCGGTGGCTGGCCAAGCGACGGGATAAGCTTCTGTCTCGGCTTTCTCACTCCTGCCTTCGCCCTCGCCGGCATCGACGCAATTGTCCACATGGCTGAAGAAACAAAGCATGCCGCAATCAACATCCCCCGCGCAATAATCGGTTCTATCATCATCAACGGTGTTTGTGGCTTCGCCTTCATCGTCGCGATACTTTACTCCATTGTTGACGTAGAAGCCGTCCTCACTAACGGCATCGCCACCGGCTACCCCATCATCGAAGTCTTCCACCAGGCCACTCGGAACTCGAGCGCAGCGGTCGCCATGATGTGCGGACCCATCCTTATCTTCTCCATGGCGGTTTTCGGTTCTACTGCAAGTGCTGGCAGATTAACATGGGCTTTTGCCCGTGATCGTGGTCTTCCAATGTCTAGGTTCCTCTCCGTCGTCACCAATTGGAACAAGGCACCCACACGTGCCCTTCTCTTCAACTACATTGTCCTATGCCTTCTATCCCTCATCAATATAGGCAGCACCGTCGCTTTGAACGCCATGGTCTCCCTCGCGACGGTCGCCTTATATGCTTCGTACGGGCTTCCCATCCTCCTCTTTGCACTGCGCCGTCACTCCAAAACCCGATCTATTTGCTTCGGACCATGGCGCATGCCCGAGTACCTAGGGATCATCTCTAATTGGGTGGCAATCGTATTTTGCGCCTTCCTCGTGATATTCCTTCCATTCCCGCCCATGCTTCCAGTCACCGCCTTAAATATGAATTGGGCGAGTGTGGTTTTTGTCGCAGTTATGGGCTTCGCGATTGTGAGTTGGTTTGTCAGAGGTAAGGGTCGGTTCGTTGGGCCTATCATTGAGGTTGGGATACGCGATGGAAGTGATGGTGAGGTTGATGATGGTGAACATGAGCATGGGTCTGTGACCAAATATGATTGAACAATGGGAGTGGCGGTCCGACCAACATGATTAGCTGGACGGAGGAGATGGTGTCCGAAACACACAATGGTAGGATTGAAACTGGAATTTCCTAGCATGTTTCAACTCAAGGCTTCCTGACTAGCTGGCAATTCTGTTCGGAACAACATCCAAGCAAGGTATGGGCCGGTCAAACTTGACGAGCGAGACTTCCCTGGTGGGTCTTTGATAGATCCTATCCAGGACTCCTCTACCACAAAGACCAGACACTTTTTCGATGCCCTTCCTTCCTCGAGTAGAGGCTTTTCCTTCTAGTGCATCCAACTCCTGCCCATCAGACCGTCACTTGTAGTTACATACGCGGAAGCAATTCTCCCTACCCTCAGAATTGAGAATCATCGTGTTAACAGAGGAGATACTCAGCTTTTCTCGATCAGCGTGATGACGGGATTGAAACATCACACCATCCCTCCTGGGTAACCGTGTCCTCGACGTGCCCAAATCAGCAGAAACACGTAAGCATCAAGAACCTTCTCTACCTCATCGTCCTGAATGAGAGTCCATCTGACCAAGACACGGGACATCATACTTACTTGCTGGTTATATCTCCCACTCCACGACGGAAACGCTTGCGGATTCTTGCTTCTATTTACTTACAGTAATTACTTATACTAAGTAAGTACCCAGCCGCGGCGCGCCACCAGATCCCCGACGGAACCAAAACAACACTGCTGACCCAGAAAATCGAGACGGAAATCTTACAAAATCGGTTACACTACAGTAGTCTAGGAGGTGAAGTACTTCTTCACCTTCCATCCATCCATCCATCCATCCAGATCAGCGCTGCAGACGAAGACTTCGTAACTCTGAGAATGCTGATTCTTGAGCCTAACTTAACTTAGAGTCATCCTCCTCGTAACGCTGTAGCGCTTGCTGTGGCTTGGGCCCGGGGGGGGAAAGGGGATCGGGAAGTTATCGATGCTATCCCTGGGATGACTGATGGCTGATGTGATGATATGATGATATGTAACGGGGTCAAAGAAGGAGTCATGACCCTGCCGTTGCTCCAGCTGAGGGGAAGTGGAGGGGGGAGGGTGGTTAGAAGTTTCATCACCTACAGTACCGGAAGGACTGTATCGCCTCCCTTAACTTACGGGAAAGTGGAATGGTAAGAGAGGGGGGTGGAGGTCAGGATCCAGGAATGGTTCTTTTAGGAAAAATGATGCTGCTGCTCAGCCTGGAGCTTGATGGCCCTGGTTTGAGGAAGCTCTTTCCTTTTTTTTGATGAATGATATGGGTGTCTGGTTTACAGTCAATATCTAGACCTGGCCGAGGGAGGGACGAGGGGCCAGAAAGATGGAGGAGAGGGGGGTGGGGAAGAAAAGTCTCTATACTGCGTAGCTGCTTTGATGTGGTAATGTCAAACAAAATATATGTTAGTGCAGCCATTAGAGCTGCAGCCCTTTTGGTTCAACAGGTAATTACATACTTTTTGTGGCTCTGCTGAGATCTATCACTGTGCAGGCTGGGTATGTTTGGGCTTTTTTTTTTAAATTCGAGAAGGGGGAAGGGGAGACGTTTGAGAGTTTATACATAGGGATGAGGACGGGATATTGGATTGATAGATATTCTACAATATTCAAGCAAGTATCTTCTAGCTGCCTGTAAAGACAAACGAGGCGCCCAGACCACGCTATACAGGCCTCTAAACCCGTCGCTCATTGCCCTCTTCCCACGGGCCTTATCCACGATCTCCTTACCCATGGACTGAACCCTTCCGATCAATCAACCCCCGCAGCATCAGCTTGTTCCTTCTGCCTCGCCTTTCTCCTCCTCTCTCTTGCCCTAGCCTCTTTCTTAAAATACTCACTCTGAGGCCCGCGATCCTTCTTCAATTGTTTATTTCGACTGACATTCTGTTCTTTATATGCCATCTGACCACCACCAGCCAGATCCGCTAGGCTGCCCGCTTGGCGGCGCACTAACGCCTTCTTCTTTCCGTGACTATTCAAGGCGCCACTCCTTCCAGAGAACAAATCTTCGTCGATTTGTTCGATGTTGGCGATATCGGCGTTCGTCTCTTGTTGCAGTAGGACATGATTGAGGAGCTCGAGGCGTTCTTCTAAGGTTTTAAACGCGAGACCGGGCAGGGATTCCATGCCAGAGAGTTGCGTGATCACTTTGAAGGCGTAGCCCTGGTCGACCAGGAAGGCTTGGCGTTTGGCGGAGTAGCCCATCTCGGATGTGTCCTTCGAAACGAGAGAGTAGAAGAAAGCATTAAACCCCTCGTCGTTACGCCGTTTGGCACGGAGGATGCGGCCCAGTCGCTGCGCTTCCTGCCGGCGGGAGCCATAGTGAGAAGAGATTTGGATCAGGCAGGTCGCTTCAGGAAGATCAAGGGATGTGTCGCCGATTTTGGAGAGGAAGATGGTGTTGACGGCATCATTGTGTTGGAAGTTTTCGAGAATGCGAATGCGTTCTTGTTGGCCTGTGCCGCCGAAGATGTAGGCTTTCTTCAGCTTTTCAGCGTATTGTTTCAAGGCGAAGACATTGTCCGAGAAGACGATGATTTTGTCGCCGCGCCTTTCGTGGTAGTCAATGAGAAACTGGCAGACCTGGAACTTGGTCGGGTTCATAATGTAGAGGAGGGCTTGTTTGCGCGAGCTGAGGCTCTGGTATTCTTGGTAGAACTCGATGGTCATAGGACACCAGACTTCGGCGCATTGGACTTTGGCAATGTGGCCTTGGTCGGCTAGTTCCATCCAGTTAGCTTCGTACAGTTTTGGACCGATAATGTAGTTGAGATCGGTGATTTTGTCGTCTTCTCGAAGCAAAGTGGCGGTTAAGCCAAGCTTGCAATGGGCGCGAACGTTTTCAGCAACCTTGCGGAAGATGGCAGCAGGAACAACGTGTACTTCGTCAAGAATCATCAAACCCCATTCTCGACTCGTAATCCATTTCATCATCTCTTCTGAGTCATGGGCTCGTTGGCGTGTCTGAGAAATCATAGAGTATGTCGAAACAATGACGCCTGTCTGGCCTCGAAATTTCTCCTTCTCCCCTGAGGTGAAAACTGCCACATCACCAGAATTGACGTCGGACCACTTCTTGAACTCATTACTCCACTGAAAGACGGACATTGCACTTGTACACAGGACGATGATGCCTTTTCTAATCGTGCAGCCGGCGGTAATCCCAACCAGAGTTTTGCCAGCACCGCATGGTAAGACAATGATGCCACTTTTCGCTCTGCCATTGCCAAACATCTTGCTCAATGCTTTCTCCTGATAACTCCGTATCTGCGTATGAGGTTTCAGATCAATTTTCAGGTCGGGATTCACCCGGTCATTCTGGTAGTCATATTCGGAGAGTGCTGGGTAGCCAATATCAAGGCATCGCTCCGCAACCTTCTCGCGAGTATTTGGTCCAATCTCAAAACTATGCGTCTGCTTTGATGGATCCTCCTCGTCATCTTCATCCCGTAACGCCTTCATGATCTCATCTTCCTTTGTCTCCCTACCTTCCTTTGGAGCTTCCGTATTTTGCCCTGGTTGGTCCGCAGTCTGCCTTGCACCCCGAGCATCACTCGTTCCAGATATGACAACAGCTTTGTTGGCCAAAGTCCCTTGTACCACTTCTGCCCCTTCTTTCCGGCAAGATTCGATGACGGGATCTTTCAGGAGCATCTGGATGATTGTAGGCTCCTCACTTTCAACGAAGAAGCGATTGTCTCGAAGAACCAATCGGACTTTGCCATACGACTTTGTATGTCTGTTGATGAAATCACTGACAGTGGTTGGTAACGGAGTTTTAGACAGCTTCTCTAGTGTACGGATAATGTCCTGGCCGGACAGACCTACCGATAAAGCGGCATACAGACTGTGCTCGGTCAATCTGTACTCGTGTAAGTATATGGGGCGCGACTGTGGCTCAGCTACGGTGATGAGAAAATCTTCTGCTTGTGCAGCAAGAGGCGAAAAGCTTTCTAACGTGATTTTGGGACCTTTTTTCGAGCCTGCTGAGACACTGGGATCTATCCATAAAGGTCGATTGTCATGATCTGGCTTGAGAGATAGATAAGAGAAGTCTTTGCTTCCAAATATCGAAGGCCTTGCTCTATTGGTCTTCGCCTTGCTGCTGTAGGAGCTGAACGCCGTCTTCTTCTTGAAACGATTGATATGTTCCTGCTCACTGCCACTCACATAATCTTGATCTGACTGATTGTTGGACCCTGACAAGTACTCGTCATTGTCTTCGCTCCGAAGGCTAACCGGAGTCGCAGGATTGGGGGTGGATATTTTCGAGGCTCTTGCGCTGCCAATGTCTGATGCCTTTCGCTTGGGAGGCATGATAGGTCAAATGAGGGCATTCACGAGTCCGACCAGCAAGGGCACTGTCAACTGCTGGATTCCTGGCGCCACCATAGTCTCGTGCTCTACTTCTTGATATCTGTCTCAGTCTATAGCTAACCAGCACCTTAGTGCGATGACAGAATCTGACTCGAAGATGGTTCTGATGAACTGGAAAGGCCTTTTCGAATGTGGGAAATAAATGGCCAAAAGGATGAGTCAGTTCTTCACGCATGATGTGCCTGCGGCACGTTCCGCAATTCTGCAAACGTCACTCTGAAGCTCTCCTCTTCTTGCACCCCCAGATTTTCTATGGATACCATTTCACTGCAGTGAGAATGAATACTGTATGTTTATGTATTCTGGCAGGCCATATCCACGCTAAATACTATGTCAGATCAGGTCAACCTGGTGAGATCTTTCTCCACCAATTCCCGAGCCATTTTGCACTATGGACTCAGCTCGTCATAGAGTCTCGGGCTGCAGTCGACATGATGAAGAACCCAAAAGAAATACAACTACTGCTAACCACGCAATTATTAGGCTGGGATGGGGTGTTCTCTGCGTTGCTGGTGGCGGCGCCTATTATTTTGCGAAAAGATCAATCAATGCAGACCGAGCCTCCCGCCATGAAGCAGACATGAAGAGAAAAGCACGATTTCAGAATCTTGAGCCGGTTGCGCCTGTCGACAATTCGCTGAGAACCAAAAGGAAAAAATCGCCCACGAATGGGGAAGGCCAGGATCATGTCGGGAGTCCAAGTGCCGAGGCGAGTGAAGATGCAGCACCAGTGGGACACGCGCCGGAGACGGAGCAACAGCAGATCAGGGAGAGGAGTAAATACGAGGCAGCAGAGCCGTATAGAAGTCGAAAAGGCGATCGATTTAGCTGATGCACAAGTATCGCCAGTTTACATCATAATACTTGTGGCACCAGGTGGTTCTGGACTGTCAGAATGAGCGGAAAAACACCGAAATTTGTTGACCTATCGCCTGCGGTCCTGAGTTATACAAATACAATGGCGATATTCCAGGAAGTTCACAAAGCCAAACCTGACCGATGCCGCGCACATGCCGCAAAACCTGTGCCTTTTTGCTTAGCCCCTTCAATCCGTGTTCTTCCCATTGCAAGACGCCTGCCTATGCTTCTTGAGCTTGTTGAAGAATCTTGGAACTCCATACCGCCGCTTATTCACTTCTCTTCGTCGAGTCCACCCGAAGACGTCCCATATTTTCATCGCGCATGATAACAGAGTGGCGCATGATGTTTTCCAGCGTTTGGATGGCCCAATCTTTTCTCTTTCTGACTCTCCATGGCAGGTGGGATAAAGGGTACAAGGACACCAGTGGTGATGAAGCCAATCGATACTGCCTGCTGCATGCGAGTAGTGGGCTTTGAAGCACGGGCAGAAAAATGGCGAATAGCGTGCTGGCCGATTTGAGAGGTAATTGATTGTGCGACCACCATTTTGCGGGGTCGGATGCGAAGTCTGCTCTTCTAATCTCTAAAGGGCTGCCGTTGTTTTTAACTTGCTCTAACCTCTAACCTCTACTCCCAATGGACGAGGCGTGCGTCGAGGTGTCAAGTCTGGTAGAAGGTATTAACAAAAACGCTATGGCAAGTGTGTCTTCTGCGATCGTTGTCGCTTGTCTACCTTGCCGGTGGTGGTGCTGGTGAGATGGAATTTGTGTTGAATGCAAGATGGGGAGGGTGCTCACATAAGCGGGGTACTGGAGTCGTGTTTTGCAGGACACGGTCTAGACCACAGAAAGCCAGTGTACCAATTTTGTTTATGTCGGTTGTAACAAGATACTGCGTTCGGTAGAGACAGCGGCTGGTGTCTGAGAAGTTATGATGCAGAGTAAGGATGACCCCTTTGGTGGACGATCACGCAATATCCTCACCAACACTCTTCCTGAGCTCTGGACAAAAGCGTTCCTGACCGGGACCGTTCCATCTGTTCTCACGTGGGCAGTCGCGAACCCTTCCCGCAACATACTAGTAACTAGTATAGCACTAGTTAGTTAAGCTAGTGCAGAAGGCATGCCCCTAGAGTAAGACAGCCGATAGTCACCGTTGGAGATTTCTCAGTTCGACTGGAGAGACTGAAGTGGACGTTCCCAGGGGCCAGGGAGCTACACTGACGATGTAAAACTCCTCTAAGCCTCGACTGGGAGTCACAGTTCAACTCACTACATTTCGTTGATACTTAGTATCTTTTTTCCTGGAAGCACGATTAGACTGAGTTTCACCTAGGTATCGAAGATTACCTAACACCAATAACTAGTTACATAGTAAAGTCGACACTAACTTAGGACATGCCAAGTTCTCTTGCATTCACAGCTATTGAATCTTGCACCCTCTGCAAGAGGCCCTTTCGCAACTGCAGCTAGGTTCACCGCCAGCTTTGCGGAGGAATCGGCTGGTTATCCTCACCTTCAGATGCGCCATGGCAGCACATCAGCTCACCATCGAAAGAGCCAAATTTTCTGCTTGCTTGCTCAAACCCGACATTCCTACAGTGAACCGCGATCAGGTTGCAGTTTGCCTAGAGCGACTCGACAAGGCGGTTTCGCGATGCTCGCCTTCAAATATACAGGTTTGGAGTGATTGCTCTACCCAGATCTTGATAAGATGCTGAATCTAAATGAGCAATGACAGAGCTGTATCGCCTGGCTTTTAAGCAACATTGTGTCTTCTTCCCCCCGTGTTGTGGGGCTAGGCAAATATTTAGTTGCCCTAGCCAACGCGGAGGATACCTCGAGGAATGAAGATGGATACGACAAAAAGACAAAGACCTCGTCTTCAACTTGTCGCAAACGGCTGCATATTCTCTATCTCTTGAATGACCTTCTACATCATACAAAATATCACACATCGAATTCTTCCTCATTCCCCAGCTTCGTCGAGCCTTTACAACCATTTATAACCGAGCTTGTCCAGCTTGCTTCACGTCAGGACCGCCCAAAGATCCGGACGCGGATAGACAGTTTGTTGCAGGTATGGGAAGAAGATGCTTACTTCAGCAAAGGCTATGTGGACAAATTGAAAGAAAGCGCAGTCCCCAATGCCACGGGCACAGCTGGTGAAGCGTTTGTTGATCGTGTAACTTCGACCAGTCAAATTCGCGACGAGAAAGACCAAGCGTACCTGATGCCAGCAAGTCATGGAGATTCATCCACACCATATTACGATTTGCCTGCTGGGAATCTGATGCCTCATATCATGCCAAATAGATCAATACCGATTCGAATGGATGATGTTCGAGCCTTGCAATTTGCCGCTGGCCCGGCAGACGACAACTTGGTCGTTGCTCTCAAACACTTCATGAGCGCCGTGGAGAAGCTCGACAACCCTGTTATGGATGTCCACGACGGTGAGGGTAACACAGAGGATGTGGATGAGCTTGGACAACCTTTGTTACGCGATGAGGCGGGGGAGTTTATCACCGGACATACATATTACGGGTGGAGCCGCGCATTCTGCGAAAAGATGCGTGGTCGAAGTGTAAAGAAGGTAGCACGCTCAGGTAGGGAAAGATCATACAGCTCAAGCAGGAGTCGGAGCCGAAATCGACGGAAGAGAAGACGATATAGCCATTCCACAAGTAGCACATCTGCATCTTATAGTCGATCACGATCAAGAAACCGGTCGAACTACAACAACTTCGGAAATGGTCGGCAAGAAAATAGCTCATCAGAGAGAGGACATCACGATAACCGTCCAAGTTCTCAGCCCCGCATATACAATTCCACATTTCAACCAGCAATGTCTCAGTCGGATACGCAGCCTCCAGAAAAAAATGGTCCCTTTCATGAGATGTCTACGCAAGGCTTTCAGCATCCAGCTTATCCGCTTCCAGAAGGTATTCCTTTGCCTCCTTCCTTGTCGGCTCCCCACAAGAGATTCAGTCAGCACGTCTTTCCGCCACCTCCTTTAGGTCTTGGAAACCTTCCTATCCCCCCGCCGGTAAATTATTCTGGACCATGGCCTCCACCGCCTCCCCCACCGCCTTCGAATATGGTTTTCAAGACAAGTTCAAGCAATGAGCCATACTATCCATCACAAGGCTTTTCAAGGCCACCTTCATACCAAGGAGAACCAAGCCATGGTAGTGGCTCAGACCACACTCAGTGGCCGCGTTGAAGAACACGAACTTCACAATCGATTGGTCTAGCAAGGATCTTTTCGGTCGAGCCTGAGGGGCGGACCAACGGATTTTGCGCTTCAGATATCCTGCATGGAGCTTCAAGACCCCAACATGACTCTTACTAAGCACTTGCTTTGAAGTAGCAAATCAGCCTTTAGCCCATCGGCACAGTATCATCAAACAAGGCTTCTATTCTGAGTGATTCATGGGTGCTGGCCGTTTGTATATCCAAGAAATGAAGCATGACAAAGTCTTCACTTTGCAGCAAAGGAGACGGAGGAGACGAAGCAGACGAGGGAGACGAAGCAGACGAGGGGAGACGAAGCAGACAAGGGGAGACAAAGCAGACGAGGGAGACGAAGCAGACGAGGGAGACGAAGCAGACTGGTTTGGGCTTCTCATATCAAAGAATGGCATGACATCTTTATGATGCACACACCGGGAATCTGATTGTTCCTGGCGTGTTTCCGTACCAATGTCCGTCCGACATGACGCATGGTTCAAGCTCATGCTGTTGTCTTGTTAAGCTCTGTATTCCGGACTTCCTCATTTAGTGGTACAAGGTGTGCCTGCAATACTGCCCTCTCATTTGTTGAGACAACGGGATTCATTTTCCGGCCCTTTTCCGGTCATTTTCCGGTTCTACTGGCATCTTGTAACACGTAAGGTCGAATATGGTTGTCCGTCCAGATTCTCACACAGAATCTGCAGGTGTAGGAATGAAGAATAAGCAATTTTTTATGGCATGTGAGAGAGAGACTGACTTTCTAAGATGTATTTAATTTCCAGTAATTGGCTGGACATTCTAACATGCAACAGTTGCTGCAGTATCAAACAAAATCCACAGACGCCAGCTAAGGCACATTCAGGGCTCAAGATCCATCAACAGCTCGAAGGTTGAGCCGAAAGGATCATAATGCCATGTCATTCTGCGGCTGCTAGCGCTTAGTGGCGTTGTGCATGGTCTCGAATCCACAGGACCAGTTTATTATGGTACACTAGAAAGTTCGCCTTACTACGTACAATTCCTACCTCAGCATACTACGTCGTACTGAATTACGAGCTACATAAGCAGATGCAATAAATGCAATCCTTCCAACTTCTGCTATACTAACTGCTCCGTACTGAGGTTGAACGGCATGCTGTTGATACTACGAACAGATGATCTGGCCTCCCCCTCAGTTCGCTGTAGATCCTATCGGGTGTCCACAGCAAGCAACGACTACTACGTACATTATTGGATGAATAACTACCATACCAGCACTCAGTAGCACGTTTGACGATCACTGCTGCCCCCAAATATTTGCCAAGTTGTTGGGATCTGCACACGGACCTTGTTTCGTCAGGATCTGCAGGGTCTCCACAATTTCCTCTCTACTACGTAGTAGTAGGGTAGTGACGCATCGATGCAGGGTCCAAAGGGGTCTCAGCTTGCATGCGCTAAAGCTTAGCGGCGCCCAGATTCGTGGAGCTGGAGGATTTACTACGTCAGGTCCTTCATAGTCCCCGATCGCCCTCATTGTCCTGATCGGTGAATTTTCTAAGTCTCCAGGATTGTGACACTCGAGCGGACAGGTCGAGCGGACAGGGCATGCATATATCCTTCTGGCTGCTACCTACTAAGCTTTTAGCCCTTGAATCCTCGACTGTTATGATGTCGCTAGTTCAGTAGTGGGTGTGCGGGATGTGGAGACAGGAGGCGTGGTGTGATATCACAAGCCTTTATTGCTGCAGGAATAAACCCTCTATCATTCGATATGTTATTGGGCGACTACATTATTATCACTCACCCTTTTAAACCTTTATAGCAACGTCGAACACATATCACCGCTATCCCAAACTACTCATCACCCCAAATCCTCATTGACACCGTTTTAAACCTTTATAACAACTTTAAACATACATAACTGCTGTCCCAAACTACTCATCACCCAAATCCTCCTTGACACCGTTTCCACCATCTCTGTCTTGATCCACCGGCAAACAAATCTTCAGCCTTTATACAACAGTGTCGAAACTGATTTACCTAAACGGACTCTCAATACGCAACAATGCAGACCACTACCGAACTCCAGCTTCCTTCATCCAGTTCCTTTGATTACGAGTCGGATGCAGTCGCTGCCATGACCGAGTACTCTCGCATCATGCACTCCCACACCATGAAACAGATGGAGAATGCTCGACGAGCATCTCGACGAAGAGACGCAGAAAGCGGCGCTGTCTCAGCCAATGCCAAACTTCGGAAGGGAGAGTCTGCCTCCAGCGATAGTTCTAGGGGGAGTCTCTGATAAGGACTTTCTTTGACCGTCGGCTTTTGGAGCATGGGTTAGAGAGTAATGATCTTCGTGGCTGGTGTTTCTGGTTCCTCTCGTGTTGTGGGCCAGCATTCTCAGGAGCGCCATGGATGTATATTAGCGGTTGGAATTTCTAGATTGGCCGAAGCACTTTGACAGACGCTGATAAGCTGCTGGAATCTTCTATCGTGCAGATTGACTATTCGAAAATAATTGGGAGTCCTGAAGGCTACTCAGTTTCTGAGTCTATGCTTATTGCCTGGAAATTAAAAAGTCCATGGATCTTATCTTCAGTGAATCATTCCATTGATAGCAAGTTTCTCTACGATTATGAAGAGCAAGGACACTTGCCATTGCGAGCTCTTGTTTTTCACAAATTTTTGATGTTATTGGATGAATTGTATGAGCGAGTTTCTCCTCTCTTCCTCTCCACCTCCCCTCAAGATCGTCCGATAATCATATCCCTTTGCGTCTTTCTCTTCGTCATCTCGCATTACACTTCTGCCTATCTTTCGAAAACCCAGACTGGTTTGTTATAACGGTGGCTGGTATCCATGACGATCTTCCTATGTCATTGCTTCATGCTTCAAATCCTCTATCATCCTCTAGTCAACGCCGGCCCTACCCCTAACTCAAACAAACAGAGAGGTGGCCTGCGTTTCACCAAGCTCTGTTTTCAACCCACCATCCCACAAAACGAGCAAATGAAGAAGTATTTTATGAGCCGTCCTTGTCGAAGGGTCTGTCTTAGTGACCTGAAACGGTGGCTTGCACGGGAGGCAGGCCCTCAGTTACAGTGATAACACTTTGAGTTACGGATACGATACTCATGATGAGTGTATGCTCTTTACCTGTGCCATCCTTGACTGTGGCTTACAGCCTTTCCCTTTACCTTGCTTTTAAGAAAATAAGTTACTACGCGACTCCTCGGGACTCTTCAGCTCCTAAGTTTCTTACCTTACTCGAGCATCTGAAGTCACAGAGTCCGATCCACGTTAGCATTGACCGTTCACATGGTTGTTGGCCAACGCATGGTGCCGAGATTCACTCCTCCATCTACCCTGAGCAAAGCTCCAAGATGTATCCGACCATCTGAGCGATCTCCTTTTCCCTACTTACTCTCTACCATTCCAACTATATCTTGGGTGGATCGAAGCGTCGAGATGGACTTTGGACCAAATCGATGTTTATTCGTCGCCTCCAAATCATAGGGAGATACACCACTGGTACCCTGCCGTCTTAACTCGAGGCGGGTAGCCATCTCATTGATCCATTGTCTTCATCGTGCCTCCAAAATTCTCAGGGATATCCTCCAACCAAGCACAACGACCTTGGTCAATAGTCGGGTCACTCCACGTTATCATTTGATCTTGGAGAAGTTATATGCTATTTTGCTTGAAGCTTTCCCACCATCTCTCTGAAAACAGGGTTTCCTTCCTAGTGCTGAATATCTACCTCATACCCAGCAGCAATCACTTGTCACCGGGCTACTGCTCGTAGTACTACTAGTCTTATTTCAATTCGGCTTGCCAAGACAGGGGAAGTCTTCATCAGTTCATAAAGGTAGGAGAAGCTTCATGCTAACATACATATACTATATACAATACAGTTGATTTATTGTGTGGCGTTCGTTTCTCAAGCGGATTCTACCAGTACATAAGTAGTGGCCCTAAGTATCTGGCACGATATATCTATGACCAATTACCATGTTCACATTCTGAAATTCTGTTCTCGGACAAACGCTGCAGCACTGAAGAACATACACCGTGTCAAAAATAACAAATAACAAAAACAAAACAAAAAATAACCCTCCTCGTGCGTGTAACTCAGACAATTCTTCACCAGATCATCGTGAGGACCCTCCCCCTTTTTCCCCGGGGAGTACTTGTCTGAGCCAATTCGCCATGACCTACTACTCACTGTGGCGAACGACCTGACGGAAGCCTAATCTCTACAGCTGTCTGTATCTGAACCGTCGTGCTCCCAGCGAAAGGGCTAACAAAGAAGAAGACAAAAGAATGAACCGACTCAATTGTCTGAACCACGCCGGGGGGCCAATGTCACATTGAATCTGCGCGAGACAAGGCGGCAACAAGGAACAAAACAAATCCCTTGTCGACCCGACACATACGCAGATCAAAGAGGAAACAAAGAACAGGTCTGCAAACTCCTGGTATGAATGTTGGACCGAGAAAAAGATAATGTGTATTCGGACAAAGCACAGCGACAAAGAAGCAACAAAGGGTTGAAGCATTCGTGGCCGAGGAAGAGAGAGGAAGATACTCATACGGGGAAAGCATGGAACGACATGGTAAGAGAACAGCCCTCACAAGAACATGGCTGGATGAAAGACGACAATGAAAAGACTATTTTTTACTTTCATCCTCATTGGAAAACTGGGGCGCTTGATTTTACATAAATACCGTCCCCCAAACCTCTTCTCTTCCTCCTCCTCCCTCTTCTTCATCTAAAAACTCAATCCCACAAAACACAAACCACAAATCACAAACCACAAAACAGAACAGAACACCCCAGCACCACGCTTTCACGCACACAAAATCTCCCCCCAAAAAAACCTCCCCCACACGCTCATAATGTGTATCGTAGCCCGAACCCACTACGGCCGCTGCAAGCACGCATTCGACCGCGTCATCGTCTACTGCAGCAATGACGTCGAAACTGCCCTGGCCTGTACGAAGCGGGATTACAGACACAAGTACGTGGAGGGTTCGTTTGGTTTTGGCAAACTGTGCCCTGCTTGCGAGGCGGGGAAGCGGTTGAGAGGGGATGAGTGGGTAGAGTACTGAGCTGTTCAGGTCATTTTGTCGACACGATGAGGAAGGCTAGGTTGGTGAGGATGGTGGTGTCCTTGTTGGGAGTTCGGACGGCTTTCTTTGCTTTGGAGGGTGGGTAGGAGGTGGAAATGGTAAGGCAGCACAAACAATGCGTATGAATTTTGGTAAAATCCCTGTTAAACCTTGATCGATTGTGAAATTGTTCGATAAAATCCGTACCGGACCGTAGATCTGTCTGAACCGGCTAAGCGGCTAAACGGCTGCATTGTCCAAGACCTTTCCACCACCCACACCAGCTGGGTGGTCGGGAAGAAGGGCAAAAGCAAGAGCGATAATACCATACCTATCTCAAAGCTTCAGTTTTCGTTCTACTAAACAAAGCACCACCTAAAGCAGAGAGGGCGGGACTTACAAAGCCAGACACAAGACTCCTTCGAGATAATTCGACTTGCCATCCTGAATCAACAACACAACGACAAAGACAGAGACTGCAAAAGCCACGGTTTCGAACATGCCGAAGTGAAGAGACAGCGGCCGATCCATGATCCAGCCAAGGACGACGAGGCCCGGCGTCACAAAAAGCGCGATCTGCAGGCAGCTGCCCATAGCGACGGCGATGGCCAGGCCCATCTTGTTCTTCCAGGCGACGACCACGGCGGTGGTGTGCTCGGCTGCATTGCCGATTATGGGGATGAGGATGAGCCCTGTGAAGGTCTTGCTGATATGGGCTGTTTCGACGAAGGGGTCGATGACTTTGATGAGGTAGTGCGCGCAGATGGCTACCGTGACGGTGACGATTATGATCAGCATCCCTGCGGCCCAAGGACTGAGGGTGTGCGCGTTTTCTTGGTCGTTGGCTTCTGGCTGGTTTTCTTCGTCGAATAGGTTTGAGTGCGTCTTGAGTTGGAAGATCAGGTATATTATGTAAAGAATCAGAAGGACAACGGCTGTACCGCGCGAGATCGTGAGAAGGGTATCTTGACGGTCCAGAGGTTTCAAGGTTAGAGTGTCATATATTGTGGCTGGGATGATCAACGAGGCGGAGGCGACCGCTAACAAAGAGGACATCGTGGAGGCCACGGTTGCGTTGAAGAACTGCTCGTGGTGTTTGATCCCTCCGGCCAGAAAGCAACAACCTAGCACCAAGAGGAGATTCGAGAGAATGCTACCGAGCATGCTGGCTTGGACGAGCTGGATCTCGTTGTTCTTGAGGGCGATTATGCTGACCTATATGTCCAGTTATATCAGCTTGCGAGACATGAAATCATGTCAGTGTAAGAGCGTACGATCATCTCTACCGCATTCCCGAAGGACGCGTTGACTAGACCTCCCAGGGTATTTCCTAGTTTATCAGACAACTCCTCCGTCGCAAAGCTTAGGATGGAAGCCAGTGGTATCATGGCCAGGAAGTTGAGAAGAAAAACAGTTGGCGGATTCACTGCAAAGGCTCCTGCGACTATACCAAACGGAACGAACACCAGCAATACATTCAAAGGGTTGCTTCCACCCGTCGTCCAGATGACCCGAAAGGTATTGGCTGAAACATGCACCCACGATCTTCGTTCCCGGTGTGCAGTGGAGACCTGTTCGGAGGACTGGGTGTGATCTAGCAGCCGGGAATGTTCGTCTGGCTCAGTGGTTACAAGACCGACCGAGGGAACTAAGTCACAGAAACTGAGAATCTTGGTAGTAGAACCATGTCGATGAAAGTCCAACCTCAAGTTGGTGGCAGCTAGACCTTGTGCCGCCATTATAGCGATATGTTAGCCTGATTTGGTCTGACAGAGATGGGATACAATCATATCGAAGCTGATGCACTGCACTGGCTGGAGAATAGGGACAATGTTCAAAAGGGGTAAGAAAGCTGTGACATACACATCTGGATCATGGGTTTCAAATTCCGAGGATATGAACAGTCCAGCCGTACGATTCGAGGAAGAATCACCCCAAAGGACTCGCGGCAAGGGGGGACTGGTGAAGGTGTGTAATTCAGTTGGTTGATGAGGACATGATTTGTGAGACTGGAATTGGGTAGACTGTATGACAAGGTGATTCTTAAATATCAACAAGGGATCTTGACTTGGTCTTTATACTTTGAGAAGCAAGCAAGCAATGGTTGTGTACCACAACAGTAGAGAAGCTCTTTCTAGAAGGAAGATGCCATGCCATGAATGCACACAGCCCTCCTTGCCACGCATCCACACTCCTGGGCTCTACTCACTTCACGGCAACTATAGCAGGCCTTGCGCAGACTTAGAAAAGGAGGTACGCACAAAGTGTCATGGCCCTTACTAGCTCATGCGTGGCAGAATGGCATACGGCTTGTCTGAGACGGTTGAGACAACGGTATCGCGTGGCGAAGCGAGGAACTTTCTTTCCGAGCTGGTCATCAAATGTTTGGGACGAGCACTCGTCGTATCATGGGGCCATGTGTGACGGTCCTGAAGATAGGATTGTATGCTAGGAGGCATTCTTGGCAGATATGTAGAGGATGATGCCAAGCATATCAGGAGCTTGGCAGAGAGGTGCTCAGCCTCGCTGGATTACTTGGCCAAGGGGGTTGGAGCTCTCTTTGCGGTTCGGTGCAGGCAGCAACATTAACCTCCTATTACGGGGTCCCGTTTAGAGAGCCCGCCTGGCAGAAATGAAAGTGGCTGTACCAGCGCCTTCTGCTTGGCGATAGTGAAGTCACGTTGGTGGTTCCTTGGCTCCACCTAGTACTCAGTTGGGGATCGAGGCCCGGCGACAAATTTCGTGGTCCCGCTGGCTCGTATGATGTTGGCACATAAGATGAGAACCACTGGGCTTAGACCCACGGCTGGTCTACACCAATCATTCTGATAATGCGATCTCGCCTGAATAGCTACGAAATCTGTCGTTGAGTCCCGTCGTACACAAGAACAACCGATGTCAATGGCTGCGATCCAATCTACGCTAACGATAATAACTTTAGTGATGTTGACTGGACGGTGAGTCTAGGAAAAGATCCTTTAAATTCTTTGCATTTTCAGCAATTGTAGGTTAAGAGAATACGGAGTCGTACTTCAAAAATAGTTGACTGCCGCTAGAGTATGGCTAAGCAGCTAGCCATCTTCGTCTTCGCTCTTAGCAATTAATCTCTTCAATCATCTAACACTTAAGCGATTGAGATTAGGGAGGATAAGGCGTATAAGATAAGATTACACCTTATAAGTAAGCATTTTAAGTACCTCACAGGGGATGTCAGAATTCATTGCGTTCTAACCAATATTCAACCGTTTCTGTACGGGGAGTTTTTTGCCTGCTCGGCTAAATATCGGATAAAATACAATGAATCCACACTCCCTGTGCCTACTGCGTATAAAGATAAGGACTATCTAGTAGCCAATTTAGGCATTATTAGATGCTGGCCCCTTACGTAGTACACTATTAGTTGGGCTGGCCAACCTATGTTCAAACTAGGAAACCCTAGCAGCGCCACACTGTCCAGGCGGGTCAACTACTACGTACTTTTGAAGCACGACTCTGTACCCTTCAGAATTAGAATTATCCATCACAGGCTTGGGTAGAGTCCGTGTGGGTTGGATCCCGCAAACTTTAATGTAGACCATCGGGTACTTCGCTGCCTCGCATGATTCCGAGATGAGATACGTTGATTGGGTATATATTGAAGAGCTTATCCCCCGGAACATGGCTATGAATCTGCATATGGTCCACCGCTAGTCTGCACTCACTGCCATTCGATGCTTTGGTGCATTTGTTAGTGCCCCTTCAGGTCGCCCGGACGGTCCGCCGTTTTCACGCTCCGGTAGATTATCGGGCCCTGCTAATAGTTTTCTGAACGGTTCGACAACTTCGGGTGGATGTATAGTTGCAGGTTCTAGCAGCCTATCCCATTCCGCAACTCGATTGTTGGTGCTGACGATTTTTTCGATAAGAGAATCAGACAACCCGGCTACTCTGTTTCCTTCCTTTACTGGAAAACGGCTGTTGACAAGCAGTGTCGTTGGTGTGTTTTTCAAGACAATGGTATTAGGATCGAGGGAATAGCAATCACTAACCTTAGAAGAGTTGCTTCGTTGTTCTTTCTTTTCTGCAATTCGGTTCTGAACTGGGTCATTCGTTCCCGGCGTCGGGCAGGATACTCTCGTATATGAGCAGCAGCCGTTTCGCTGTCGTCGACTTCTGCTGCCTTCCCTGGTCACGGAAGGCACAAGCTTGATCTCCGAAGGCTTGAAGCACGTTCCGGAAGGGGGCAGGGTGAATGATCCAGATTGTACTCACATTCAGCGCGTAACCATCCAGGAGGCTTCTCGGCTACCCTCCTGTTTTTCTCTTCTTTTTGTGCATACCATCTATATCTTCCCTGCGCATAACACCTATCTGACCTGCCTGGGCGTATGCCGGTCTGGCTGGTGACTCTTTCTGCACCAGCTCATGCGAATTGTCCTCATACATCTGGTTAGGTTATGGTTTGAGATCAACACGCATTCAGGATACTCGAAACAAGAAATTTGACAGCCAGAACGCTTGTCCTGGAAAGAAGAAAAGATCCTTCGGGTTGAAACTTGGGATTCAACAAACAACCGCTTGAAAAAGTACAATTTGATTAGACGAGACTCATGGATAAATGTTCAGTATCTGCCTCGCACATGTTCAAATCACCCGAGAGCGGCTCTAGAGTCTAGAAAAGTAGTTCATCGAATGGTTGGAAGGCAAATGCAGCGACAAGGAATATAGGAAACAGTGTGGTGGCAGCGGTACAAGTACTGCCCCTTGAACATGTTTTAACGCATCTATGCAGCACTTGCGTTTGAAGTATTGAATTTCGAAGGAAAAGTGCGAGAAGCCTGCTGCTCCCATTCGAAGAGCAGATATCCCCAGATGATTGCAGCCGATGCCTCGTTCACGACTTCCTAGACCGTTAGTCTGAGTGCCGTGCTGCACTCAATTGTTTGATAGATATCTTGTGGCGAAATGTCTAATGAAATAGAGAGTAGGCTAATACCAATGTGGAGCAATATCAGATGTTGATGCTAGCGTATCTTGCCTTTTCACACTTTAACTGATTCCGTAACTGAGAGAATTTATATTTTTATTTATTTCACTTCTAATAAAAGCTGCGCAATTGGTCTAGCGGCATGATTCTCGCTGTATGTAATAAATTATCATTATTGCTGTCCACGTGACTAAAACCTAAATAGTAGGGCTTACCCTGAGTCAATTGCGAGAGGCCCCAGGTTCGAATCCTGGATTGCGCCATTCTTTTTTTCTTCTCTGAAGATGGGAAGGGTCATGTAGGTACAAAAGGAGCACTCTTATATGGCCAAAATTTCGCGGTCATGAGAGGCAAGGGTTTAAAGTAGACCCCAGTTTAGCATGAATGCCAAGTTTACGAACAACAACGACTCCTCCACGCCGGTCATAATTTGTTATGTCCTAGGAACGGATTTAAATATGTCTCCTATAGACTAACTGAACTGCTTGTTGTCGCCGTCGGCCCTTGGATAGGGAGGGGTCTCTTTCATCTGTGGCTACTTGACAGAAACCCACATCTGTCTGGTCTACCGTGATGGACTCTACTCAGCGCGATGCTGTGGTGTTATGGAAATCCGTAAGTGTCCTCAGAGCTGGTATTGGGGACTGATCCCGAGTTTTTCAAGGTCGACCTGCTTGAACTGCTCAAGGAGACCAGTCTTCAACATCAATTTTGCTGCCATAACCGCCAGTCAGCGGTTGTTGAGCAGCCCCCTAAGGTTGGGTATTGATCTGCAGCCTGCCCGGATCTCCTGTCGTTCCGTCATCAACTTTCAGCATTTCAGTAGAACATGTTCCATTGTTTGCTCTCTTGGTTGCAAGCGCATTGGCTGTTCTCTACTAGGTTGATGCTATAGTGATGGTAACAGTATTACTGCTGTTCGAGGGGGTCACATTCTGGAGGAGGGAGCTCGTAGCCCGAGAGAGCTGGAAGGGGGGGGGTTGTACTTCGTTTACGAGGGAGGTGGAAGTTAAGGGACGGTCGAACGAAGGGGACGAAAATGTTCGAAAGCTGAAAAGGCGTAAAAGAGGCCACGGTGGACACGCCGCTAGGTTCAGATCCTCTTGTTGGCACCGTATGCGGCGGGGAAGTTTAGGATGAAGGGTGAGTGCAAAGGTGAGCAGTGTGAATGTGAAGGAGAAGGGGGGTGAACGGTTTTTGAAGCGGCACGGCCTGGGCGAGTCGCACTTAAGCTCGGAGCAGTTTTACAACGACCGGGCCCCTACGCAGCAACGCAGTTGAAGTTTTCGCTCGAACAAAAGTTCGAAAATGCAAACTAACTACTGCTATCTCGAGTAGCCTGCGTCGCCAAGGAGAACAACAACTATTTCTCGATCCTGTGTTCTGATTGAGGATTTGCTATTTAAGTAGGACTGTGAAAACGGATTTGGTAGTGTATCAGGTGGCTGGAAATTTTATGTTAAGTGCAAAAAGTGTTATATAACTATCTATCCCACATTTCCCATCATCCCTGAAGAGGATGAATTCGGCTAGTGACATCTCGAAGACCAATTCTTTCCTGTAATCTGGGGAGCTTGGCGCTGTGGGATGATGCAAACGCAATACTAACTATGCGCAGCATGAAAGTCTCTAATGAACTACCCGAGTACATTAGGCTGCTCACCCTAGAACAGTACACATCCGCGTCCCAAGCGACAAGAACTAGAATTACCCCACCGGGAAAGGAGACAGAGCTTGAATGCAAAATACATCTCAACGGCGTTCGAGAAGAAGTGAATGATCATCGTTATATAACCACTAAATGCTCATCTCCAAAGTGCACAGCCACACGCCACACCTGTCACAGTATGAAGATCGTCGATCGGAACTTTCCAAGGAGGGATCTACCGGGTACACCGCCACACATATGATGTCAGTTCTTCCTCTTCCTAGGTCACACAGCACACCAAAACGCGCGCTATTTTGTCAGGCTAACCAGTCAACCGTTTCGGAGCTCTATTTCCTGTTTCCTGGTTGCACATCACAGAACCTTAATCATTTCTTTGATTGCGACTGGACACAGTTCCTTCAGATCATCCCCACAACGGTAGATCGTATTCGGAAGCTAGACTGCATGTGGGAATGAGTGGCTTTCCCTTCGAATGCGGTTTTCAATAACCAATGCCCGTTGAAACCCAATGGAGAAGATGGGCGGAAAGAAAAGTGGAGTAGATGTCATGGGGCTGCTGGGAGTGAATACGTAGTAACTGCAAGGGGACGTGAGAGCCAAAGGGATACGAGTTACTAGTAGTAGTTACGAGGGGAGGTACGTACGTCCGGAAGCGTTTCCTTGTTTTCATAGATGAGATAAACCTTTGTTTTGGTTCTTAATATCGAAGACATTCATCAAGACCCTAAGACATCACTTACTAGCATTGCTTCCTCACTTTCCAGTAACCTCCCGGGCGCATAGTCATCTTCTACAGCAAGAGATCCCCAAGTACCTACATACCAACATCGCAGCTCGTGCATAGCGACAGCATACAACAGAAGCCTTCTTCCTGCCTATTTCTTATCTTCGCAAACCCCCTTCAACGCATTCCGAGCCAGACGCGAAATTTAGATCCCTTTCAATACCACCGACAAAATGGGCGCAGTAGTCTCCTGCGTAAGTCCAAACCCACCTTCACCCTCAAGCTTATCCCAAGTCTACGTCCGCGCAATCGTTCCTCGTCATGCCAATCAATCTCCTTTTAATCCTCCTCATTCCCTCCCCCTTCCCTGCTAACATCGTTCATCTAGATCAAGCAAGTCCTACGATCAATCGGGAACTGCCTCATTGCAATCGTGGACGGCATCGGCGGCATTCTCAACGCAATCATCAGAGGCTTCGCCAACGTCTTCAAGATCATCATTTCCTGCTTGACGTGTGGGAAAGCAGGCGGTAGGGGAACAAGGGTGAAACACCATACCACGAGGAGTGGGATCTAGGAGGGGAACCAACCAAGGTAGAAGCGTGACCGTGCCGCAAGATGTACGCAATGCAGAGATAGGTTGAGACGGACCTGATCAGAGGCAATGCACGGTTGGGTGAGAAAGTGGATCAGGAAGTGCTTGTGCGGTTGAGAACTTGAGATTGATGCGGAAGGGTGTTTTCTTTTGACGACTGATCTCTGCTTGGCTATTGATACCCTTTCATTTCCATGCCTGCTTGAGGCGTACGAAGCAGAAGTAGCAAGTCTCTTAGTAATTATTGCTCATCAGCATCCTCCTCACTACGCTTGGCCCTACAAGCCACCATGCTGTATACTGCTCTACCTTGTCAATGGTTTCATAGCGCGGAGCGTCTTTCGTTGAGCGACGCAGACTTTGAGATCGTGCCCCCACAAAGATGCTGATCGACTCGGTACTTGACCTCAAAGATGCTATACTTGATGAATGAACGATATTGACAATCAAGTCCTTGCCTAGCGTATAACCTTTGGGTCGACCTTTCTCGCGACGCGCTCAGTCTTCGCCGGCCACGACAGTATTTGGGCCCTGACAAGCTGCACCAGACCCCTTAACCTCGCCTTGAGACCAATACCATAGCCAAGATAAACAATCCCTTCACACATCTTCCACACCGCTACACCATCTCTTATCGGATACTGCAGTAAATCTGGTATCTGTGTTGACACTCCTAGCCATCTAGCCCACACCGCATCCTCACAAACCGCCTTGACATTACACAAACTCCGCAATCCCTCTTCACCCCCAAACCTACCATAGCCGGATCCCTTGGTGCCTCCGAAGGGTAGGGAAGTAGCGTAGAAAGCCCCGAAATCGTTGACGGCTACCATGCCTGCCTTGATTTCTCGGACGCATCGATCTGTATCGGTCCTGTTGTGGCCAAAGACGGAGGCGCCCAGGGCGTAGGGAGTCGAGTTTGCGATCTGGATGGCATGGTCTACTGATTCAGCGCGCATGAGGAGGAAAATGGGGGCAAAGAGTTCTTCTTGGGCTATCGGCATCGCGGGGTCGACAGCAGAGAGGAGAGTGGGTGTGAAGTAGGAGCCGTCTGGATACGAAGGATGCTGGTGCCTTGAGCCGCCGCAATGAAGGATTGCGCCAGAAGCGACAGCTTGACTGATGAGGCTTTCGAGTCTGGAGAAGGAGGCAGAGGATATCATCGCACCTATATCTGACGTAGTATTGGGTTTACACTTCGTCGTTCCCTTAGCCGGTTGATCTCCGTGGACCAGAGGATATCCAATCTTCATGGCCTTGATCTTTGGTAGGACAATGTCAATCAATTTATCATAGATGCATGGTAAGGCGATGACCCTCTCGATTCCGATGCAATTCTGTCCAGCAGACTGGAAGGTACCTCGCATGATAATACTAGCCACTTGGCCCAGCTTTCGTATCGTCGTTGAGTCGTCCAGGATAATGGCCGGGTCCTTACCACCCAACTCGACCGTGACTGGAGTAAGTGCTTTGGCGGCAGAGGTGCAGACCTTGTGGGCTATTGATCGACTGCCAATGAAGGTGATATGCGAAAGACCGCGGTGAGAAGTGAGATGATCAGCAGTGACAGGCCAGCAGATGACACTTTGAACGAGATCGGGAGAATGCCCACATGCGGAGAGAGCACCTCGGATAATTTCGAGGAAGTATACACTGCTCCATGCTGTCTGCTCACTTGGTTTCACCACGATTGCATTGCCTGAGAAGAGTGCGGCGATCACTGGTGAAATGAAATTGTGGAACGGGTAGTTCCAGCTAACACAAGCTGCGACCACTCCCAGGGGTTCATATACGACAGTGTTCCTCTTGTAGCGCATCAATAGGTTTGTAACCGCTCGCCGCGAAGGCTTGAGAGCCCTCTCACCATGCTTGATCGTCCATTGTAACTTCTCGACTGTGACGAGGATCTCTCCAAAGCAAGCATCAACCTTGGTTTTCCCACTGTCTAGACAGCAGGCTGTGACTATCTCTTCTTGATGGTCAAGGACGTATTGCAGAAGAGTCTTCAAGAGTCGGCGACGTTGGCAGAAGGTTGTGGTCGACCAGTGGGGCTGTGCAGTGTTGGCTCTTTCGATGGCAGCATCGATGTCCTGGGCATTGCTTGGTGCTATCGAAGGACCAAGTGAGCGCCCGTCTGCGGGACATCGAGGATGTATGCGCTTATCATCATACTACTGGTGAGTGAGCAAGTTGAGATGGTAAGAACATGGAAAACAAACAGCAGATGTGCAGCCATCAGATGATTTGGCCTGGTATGGTGACTGGACAGCTTCTGGTGGCCTCACGCAGTATCCAGCAGGATCTTCGCGATGGCTGCTACGGAAGTGAGGAAACCAAACAGCGAAAAAGAACGAAGCAGCTACAATGGAGAGGGTTATCAAGAGAGGTTGTGGTTGTGAATAGGAAAAGGTGGAATCCATTGCGCACAATGGTGGAGAAAACGAGTCAATTGGATTGGAACAGCAGTGGAGGTCTTGGCAATCCGCAAAGCAGAAAATCTCCTCCCAGCTCGCCTAAGTTGGGCAACTATACTCCGTACTGCTCTAAGGATATGTACATGTAGCAAGCATGATGTTCTGTCAGCTAAAATGCTTCTTGCATGGAGCGCAAATGACAAACTCCATGTGGAGCTACATAATCTGCTCGCGCTGTGTACAAGACCTACTGATAAGCTCCTTGTCCTGTCCTCCGGGTGCGAGACTGCTACTGACTAAACCCAATGGCGACATGATGTTCCTATCCAACAGAGGAACAAGGCGTTTCATTCGCTCAAGGAGCATTGCACGTGTCGATAAACCTTGGACTAGAGATCTAGGCTTGCCTGTACCTGCAGCTTCACCCCAGGAGCTCTTAGTCACTGCTAACTAGTAGCCTCTTCCCGCGTGCAGTCAACGCTGTCCATCGCAACACGTGCAACCAAGCGAAAGTGAGATCGCATGCGAGATACTATCATGATGTAGGTAAGATTTGTTTCTGCTCCACTACTTTAGTGTGATTGAAAGCTGCCGTTTTGCGCATTTAACAAGGTAGGACCTGCTCTTTCTTCTCTGATACTGAATTCTTAAGGCTGTACGAGTTGGAAAAAGAAAGACGCCTGGGCCTATCTTGGAATCTGCAAACCTGCCGCCATGATGTTCTTCTACAAATTGGCCATGACGGCCTTGCTTGCGAACTATGTTACAGCTCTTCCGCAACGTGGCCGTACTCCCGGTCAGAAGCCTTCGACACCCAAGAGTGATTACTACATCTCGCTCGGACCACGTCCCTACTACCTGGTCAATGACATGACGCCATCACCCCTCAAGGACAGGCTCGAGTCATGTGAGAATGGGCCATTCTCTATCACTGACTTCAGCATCGGCCACCGCGGTGGTGGGACGCTGCAAATCCCTGAAGCGACCGTCGAATCCACCACGGCTGGCGCACGTATGGGCGCCGGTGTCCTTGAATGCGACGTCGCCTTTACTAGAGACCGCGGCCTTGTGTGCCGACATTCTCTCTGCGACCTTCACACGACGACCAACATCCTCCTCAAGCCGGAACTCGCTGCGAAATGCTCTGTCCCTTTTACGCCCGCCAATGGCACTCGTCCTGCCAATGCTCTTTGCTGCACCAGTGACATCACGATGGCAGAATACATGACCCTGTGCGGTAAAATGGACAGCTTCAACGCAAGCGCCAGGAACCCACAGGACTACCAATTCGGCACCCCCAACTGGCGAACCGAACTCTACAACCAGTGCGGTAGCCTCATGTCGCTAGACAGCTTCATTACCCTTGTCGATTCGCTCCCAGGCCACCGTAGCTTTACCCCGGAACTCAAGACTCCACCTTCCACCGTCCCGATGCCGTTCAATGGGTATACACAGGAACAATATGCAAGCGACATGATCGAGGCCTTCATTCGCCGGGGAATTGACCCCAATCGTGTCTGGGCTCAATCCTTCAACCCTCCGGACGTCTTTCTATGGATAAACAAGTACCCTCAATTCGGCAAGCACTCTGTCTATCTTGACGAAGCCGGCGAGACCCCTGCCAACTTTACCGCCGCAGTCGCACGCTTGCCCAGCCTTGCAGCGCAGGGCGTAAACATCGTCGCGCCACCCATGCAGTACCTTCTCACAGTTGGTGGGCCAAACAACAACACTATTGTTCCTTCAGCTTACGCCATTGGAGCCAGGGCTGCAGGCCTCGACATCATCACATGGACGATCGAACGCTCTCCACCGCTGGCTCGCGTGGCCGCCACCAGGGACTACTATTACTCAACTATAGCTTCTGTGATTCGCCGTGACGGTCAGCTATATGAAGTCCTCGATGTGCTTGCGAGGCAGGTCGGGATCAAGGGTATTTTCTCGGACTGGTCAGCTACGGTGACGTACTACGCCAACTGTTTCGGATTAGAAGGTCCCGTGGCAGCGGATTACAAGCCATAAAATTCAGGGCTTCTAATACTAGCCAAGAGGAGATGATTTGCCTTCTGAATCTAGACGTATGAAGCAAGGCTATGGCTTATCAAGCAGTCCAGTTAATCTTACACTGAAGCAGATGGCCTACGTATCCAGAGCTATGAGACCCCAGTCAAGGCTTTGACGGCAATCGGCACCTCGTAATACGTGTACTAAGATGGTATATAAATAATTATAGTGTAAATACTTCTAAAATCCCACACACTTACTCACAGGCTGTGTCTCTGACAATAAAACAAATCTCGTCGGCACTAAATAACATGAGCCGAGACGTGAGGCTCCCTGGGCCAACGTACCAACTAATGTACGTATTTCAAATTGGTTTACGTTCGTCGTTACAAGGTCAGTGATTAGTTTCCATAGAACTGCCAGTCCATACTTGACAATCTGTTAGTAGTGCGCTTGAAAAGACGTTCGGTAATCGAGACTCGGGAAGCAAGATGAACAGGTGTAGTATTTGCTTGGAAGTGTAGCGGAAGATCTGATCTAAGCACTTATGTTGGCTGGCATGCATTCAAGAAGACTGCCCGAACCAAAATCAAACCTTTGATGCCAATCACACGTCAAAAAGCTGCTTCTGAAGCTGCATTTGCATATTCTCCATTGGATCCAGCGCTTACAAGTGGTTTCCGCATTGTCACTCTCTTGCCCGGCGATCGCTACAGTCCACTATCATGCACACTTTCCCAGGAGGATTGGCGAGATCCTGTGGGCCCCTACGAGGCAGTCTCCTACTTCTGGGGTGACCCCCGGCGCACCAAAGATCTTTACATCAATGGCAAACATTTCCTGGTCACTTCGAATTTGGGTTCGGCCTTGCGACATCTTCGCCAGGACGGCCGTGGCCAGCACCGACGTCTTTGGGTTGATGCAGTCTGTATCAACCAGGCAGATAATCAGGAGCGAAGTCAACAAGTCCGTCGGATGTCAAACGTCTACAATAATGCCAAGCAAGTGATTGTCTGGTTGGGCGATGCTAACTCAGAGAGCAATAAAGCTCTGACTTTCATCAATACGACCTTGCGTCCTTGCTTTGAATCGGTTGGTTTCTCATGTACAGATGAGCAGGCCAATGTTGTCTCTAGATTCTGGGAAGAATGGGATGAGGGCAAGGACGAGGAGTGCTGGGGTGCAATTGACCACCTGATCACCCAGAAACATGCCAGGAATTGGGCGAGTGTGGCTCAATTGCTATGTCGGCCCTGGTGGAGCCGAGCATGGACGGTACAGGAGCTCCTCAGCGCGCAAAGGGCCACCGTTTTGTGCGGAGGAATGTCATTGCCCTGGCCGCTCCTTGATATGACAATACAAATGATGTTGCGGAACACCAAGATCGAGGAGCTGTACGCTAAGAAGAAGCTGGATATCTTCCATAATGCGGTCGAGGACGCCTACGGATTCGCATACGAGCGCAGTCATAGGATCTTAGACGAAACTGATGCCCTGGACTTTGTCATGCTTATGCAGGTCACCCGGTATCGAGACTGTCAAGATCCACGGGATAAAGTATTCTCTGTTCTGTCTTTGTTATCCGTGGACTTCCAGGCATCCTTTTATCCTGACTATCTACAGCCAGTCCCAAAGGTTTACGCAAGTGCAGTAAGATCCTACGTCCAGCATTCGGGTAATCTCCATACGCTTTCTTCATGTTGCTTGTCAATGCATGCCAGCGTTCCCGGGCTCCCTTCCTGGGTACCGGATTGGGGACTACCATTCGAAATGTCATACATTGGAGGTTATTCTGCAAAAGATACCGACTACAATTTTCGTGCATCTGGCGATTTGTCTGCCTTAGCATCGTTCTCCGAAGATTTGCAGTTTCTTACTGTTTCCGGTTGGAATATTGATACTGTCAATAACAATAGGTTGCAGAGAGACGCCGAGGATTTCGAATACTCATACGACAAAGAGTCGGGCTATGAACCTTGGTGCTCTTGGGATATTCACAAAATCGTCGCCGAGTTGGAGAAATCGGGAAAGGCAGTCCTTACACGCAAGCGCGAAAGTTTGCTCAAGGCAGTGTTCTACGCCTTGATCGTCGACCGAGATCCAATCCGAGGCAAGAGAAGGCAGAACTTGAGACTGATCAAGCAGCATGGGAAGATGTGGCCTGACTGCCTGGACGACTATCTTGCCCACGTTCGGTTATGGACACAGGAGAGATCGCTTGTTTCCTCCACGGGTGGATACATTGGGCTCGCTCCCTCTTGCACCCTGCCCGGAGACAAGATCTGCGTGCTCTATGGCTTTCATGCGCCTGTCATACTGCGTCCTGGCACTGACGGATCCTACACCTTCGTTGGAGACGCTTATGTCCATGCCTTGATGGATGGAGAGGTCGTAGCTTCTGCAAATAAGACGAAATTCAAAGAGGAACAATTCGTGATTCGATGATCCAATGGTGGAATTACTCTGACTCAGACACGCCATGACTGTGAAAGGGGAAAGCCCTTACGTATAGTCGAGGTGCACTGCAGATTAAAACATTCCGGTCGTGCCAGTCACAAATCTTTCTCTCCTGGCGAAATGGGTTGCCACATCCGCCCGCATCTAGCGCCATGGGTCTTCCAAACCTGCCCCTTCTCTACACCAAGTTGCTGGATTCACAGCTGACAGACATTCAGCCTTCCGTTCCGGCCAGTCAAGGACGTTACTTACTGCTCCTGGCTCACTTAGAAGCACCTGGCTTTGAATTGCGTCTAGGATCCGACAAACCGAACCCTGTTCAACAAACACAGGCCGAAATTCCAAACTCGCAGACCCTTCTCCTCGATGATCGCCGGAGGTTTTTCTTAGTGTCGTCGCCCCCGCCCGAGAAACGTGAATATACGAATCATGAACTCCTATATATCAGTAGTCTCAGCAAGCTGAGGAACCAGTCTCTCCACGTCGCCGTCTTCAGATTCAGCAGGATTCACGGGTCGGGACTGTCTCATTGATGCAAAATGGTGCGGAATTCTGCGTCTGGGCCTGCGTCTGGATAAAGGTCAGTCGGTTTCCTACTCCGAGAAAGCAATGCGCGGTAGAGGTCGGGGATATTGGGCTTGAATTCGGATATAGATCTGAAGCGAAAAGCAGAGAGAAGGAAAATTTGAAGATTTTAATTTATTTTCTTTTACCGCGTCTGTTGGGAGCGAGATAATCAGTCATGGGCTTGGGTCTGTGCTACCAGAAGCCGAAGGCAAGGCATATTCCCCGAGCTCGAGCGGGCAGATCGTCTGGAGTGAGTCGCACTGTGCGATCTCCATTCGATCCGGCGCCTCCCCACGCCGCGTGCTTCCCCTCCGGTGTTAAGTCTCCAGCTCATCAATAGCCACATCCTCGTCATCCTCACTCGCCACGATCGCATTCGCTACCCTCCACACCTGGATCAGATTATCCTCCGCCGCACTACACATCACCCACGGATCATTCTTGTTCCAACTGAAATCACTGATGCGGTTCGTATGCCCACCATGCATGAACAATAACTCTGGAGGCCCGTCCTCGCTATCTTCTGGTGCTTGTTCCTCTCCCACACGACTCAGGTCCCAGAAGATGACTCGTCGGTCATATGAGCTCGAGCCGAGGATGGATGTTTCGAAAGGGTGCCATTCGAGTGTAGTCACGGATTCGTTGTGCCCAGCCAGAGAATGGAGTTTGTACTTCAGGTTTCGCAGGTCCCAGATGCCAATGGTGTGGTCGGCGGAGCCGGTCGCAACGACGCTTTCGGCCGCAGGGCTGAAGGCGATTGCGTTGATAGCGTCGCTGTGTTGGTCTGCGGGGGTGGAGACGGCGGAGCGGGTGTGGTCTTCTTGTCGGGTGTCGAGGATCTGTAAGGTGATGTCGTCGGAGACACTCCCGATAAGGGAGGGATGCAAGGGGTGGTATTGGACGTCGTTAACGACAGAGCTGTGGTGGGTGTAGGTTCGGGCGGGTTTGAGGAGGCGGTTGGTTGGCGAGAACTGGGTTATGTCCCAGAGGCGGACGGTTTTGTCTTCGGCGGCGGTGGCTAGGTGGCCGTTCCGATGGGGAGACCAGCTTAGACCGTAGCCTTCTCTTTCGTGGCCGTGGAGTTCGATCTGAGGCATGATTTGGCCGGTCGGGATGGAGGTGTGTTTTGACTTGTCCCAGATCATCACTCGGCCATCTGTACACATTGTCGCGATGATGTTTGGGTTCTGTGGTTGGTACCGAGCCTTGTTGACCTCTCCTGGGTGGTCAATCTTTTGGATGATGTTGAATTTGACCTCGATGGTTTCTCTGCGCGATGGTCCCCCTCCATAACCTCCAATCTCCCCCGTTTCTTCATCGTAGTCTTTGACGTCAGGCGTAACTCTGTTCGGAAGTTGGACATTGGCAATTTGGAGGAGATTTGGGGCGCCATTTGAGGTGTGTGTGCCAATTAACAGACGGTGTGTTGAGTAGTTCTTGTCAGGTAGCCTGCTGATGTCAGAAGCTTCAGCCTTGACTGCAGTGGGCAGGCGTACGATTGTTTATCTGGCAGCCATTGTGTAGTGAGCGTTGGCCAATCCAGAGCAGTACTCAGTATCAGGTCGTAAAGAAATGGTGCGTTCTTCTTCCATGTCTTGTATTCTAAGATAATATCAGCATTTGTTCTGTTCTATTCAACCAGCGTCCTCTGACCTTCGTTGATGATCTTCTGCTCCGTCTCTTCCGCTTCTTTGTCTTGTAAGTCACTCACTGTAGGTGCTCTTGTCAGCTGTATCTCTTTCAAGCGCGGTACGCTAAACATACTATCATCATCTCTGTCCGCCATTGTGCCAGGATCACAACGGAAGAAGGCTTCAGAAGGATGCGCTGTGTTCTTATGATGCTCTTATGGGCCAGATGAATACGATCATTTCAGGTAGGGTATCTTCCGTCACAAGGGACAGTTCATGGGGTTGTGGGATGTGTCAAAGCCAGTCTGTAGAGAGAACGCGTTTGGTCCGTGTAAATCAATTAGCTGCGCGACGCAGATGTGGCTAGCCTACTTTTAAGTTAGCTTCGTATAATGTATGCCAAGAAATCCTCATTATTCAACCAACTTGAACGGTAACCGTCACCACAAACTCAAAGCACAGCACCGTGCAAGCAAGCCATCCCCCTTTTTGGAGCAGAAAGCTCTCTCCTTCCACCCTTCCATCTCCTTCTGAACGCAAGGGCTCGTCTGGGCTCAAACAACTGCCCTCACTCCGCAAAGTCAAGCCATCAAAGCTGACCTACACCTACCGCCACCATGGGTGTCCCTAAATTCTTCCGCTGGATGAGCGAGAGATATCCGGCAATTTCTCAGCTCATAGCAGATAATCGCATTCCCGAATTTGATTGCCTTTATCTTGATATGAATCAAATCATCCATAATTGTACCCACAAGGATTCAGATTCGCCCACTTTTCGCATGACTGAAGACAAAATGTTCATCGCCATCTTCAATTACATTGAGCACCTCTTCGGCAAGATCAAACCTCAAAAGCTTTTCTTCATGGCCATTGATGGGGTAGCACCCAGAGCCAAGATGAATCAGCAAAGAGCTCGCCGCTTCCGTACAGCTCTAGATGCTGAGCAAGCACGAGAGAAGGCTATCAAGCAAGGTGTTGAGATGCCAAAAGAGGACGCATTTGATAGTAATTGCATAACACCAGGAACAGAATTCATGGCGAAACTGACCCAGCAGCTACGGTATTTCATTGCCAAAAAAGTTTCCGAAGATGTCGATTGGCAGGGCGTTGAGGTTGTATTGTCAGGTCATGAGGTTCCGGGTGAGGGTGAGCACAAAATCACCGAATACATTCGTCAGGCCAAGGCGCAACCTGACTACGACCCAAACGTTCGACACTGTCTGTATGGCTTAGATGCAGATCTCATCATGTTGGGTCTGCTTAGTCATGATCCTCACTTTTGCTTATTGCGCGAGGAAGTCACATTTGGCCGCCAGGCGAGCAAAAAGTCCAAGGAGCTGGAGCATCAAAATTTCTACTTGATGCATCTGTGCGTTGTTCGCGAATATCTTGAATTGGAATTTCAGGAGCTCAAAGAGGATGGTGTTTTGGAGTTTCCTTACGATATGGAACGAATCATCGACGATTTCATCCTCATGGCTTTTTTTGTTGGAAATGATTTCTTGCCGAATTTACCAAATCTGCATATCAACGAAGGCGCTCTGGCGCTGATGTTTAAAAAGTACAAAGAAGTGCTCCCCAGACTAGGCGGCTATATCAATGAACATGGGGTAATCAATCTGGAAAGGCTGGGAGTACTGTTGGATGAGTTATCAGATGTCGAGCATCGCTTTTTTGAAGCAGAATATCAGGACGAAAAATGGATCAGGTCGAAGAAGCTTGAAAGCAACAGCGACATTGAACCGAAAGCTGGCAAACCAGTGAAGTCAATAACGCCAGCACAGAAAGAAATATTGAAGCAGGTGAAGACGTATGTCATGGCTCCTGCAAACGACGATCATGATACCCGCAAGCCTCTGGACCTTAGCCCGACTTTGCCAGCACGCGATCGCAAGTTTGTCCAGCAGCTGACTCTGGATCTTAATTTAAGGTGGAAGACGGCTGAAAATGCTAGCGGCGATCGGTTCGTTCGTGTTGAGTTTCCGCAGGACCGCAAGGATGATGAAGACTCAGATGATGAGGAAGGCCACCTTGCGTTGATGAGAGTCTTGAAACAATATGACCGTGCAAGAGTTGAGGAGTCCACTGCAGAGCAGGCGCAAGAAGCCATGCAGAAGAAGTACGACCAGAAATTCGTGCAATGGAAGGACAAATACTACCGAGAAAAATTCGAGTGGGGCCTCGAGAACGAAGAAGGTTTGCGGGAGCTGACAGAAAACTACGTGCAGGGCCTACAGTGGGTTTTGTTCTACTACTATCGCGGTGTGGCATCATGGCCCTGGTTCTACAGATATCACTATTCGCCCATGATATCGGATGTGAAGAAGGGGCTCGGGGCCGACATGAACTTTCAGCTTGGCCAACCTTTCCGACCATATCAGCAACTGATGGGTGTCCTCCCCGACCGTAGCAAGAAGATTGTGCCAACCGCTTACCATGAGCTGATGACATCCCCTGACTCACCAATCATCGATTTCTATCCTCGTGATTTTGAGCTTGATATGAACGGCAAGAAGATGGAATGGGAAGCAGTGGTCAAGATTCCCTTCATAGACGAGAAGAGACTCCTGAGTGCCATGGCGACAAAAGACCACCTTCTTACCGCGGACGAAAAGCAGCGCAACGGTTTTGGGATCAGTCTAAAGTTCACATATTCACCAGATCTGGATTTTACCTATCCATCTCCTCTGGTTGGCGTTTTCCCAGACTTGACTCATTGCCATTGCGTTGAGAATGTTTTTGAGTTGCCGACCATGGACGGGCTCGAACCATACGTGGGTTTGGTAGAAGGTGTCAAACTGGGCGAAGCTGCCTTGGCTGGCTTCCCGAGCTTGAAGGAGTTGCCTCATACTGGAAGTTTGGGTTTTCATGCGGTGAATGTCTTCCAGCAGGACAGCCGCAATGAGAGTATGATCGTTTCTGTCTTGGACACTGAGCGGCGGACAAAGGCTGAAACGGCCAAGCTCTTACTCAACAGGCGTGTGCATGTTGGATATCCGTTCATACAGGAAGCCAAAGTGGTCAAAGTATCGGATGAGCTTTTCGACTACTACATGCCAGAAAACACCCGCGGCCAGGTTCATGCGTCGAACCATACACCGGCAGAGATAGCAGAATTTCACAAGAAGGCTGAGCGGATTGAGAATTACTATAGCAAACGACTCGGGATGCTGACCGGTGAAGTCGAGTCGTTGGTCCATGTTGAAATGCTGAAAGGTCTCCGCAAGCTGGACGATGGATCAACAGTGAAAGACTTTGCTCTCCTTCCTGGGGTAGAAACCATACACGCAAGTCAATTAGTGGTAGAGTCTGTCATCAGCGAGGACCAACGCTTTTTGGAAAAAGCAGCGGTCTCGGTCGAGGAAGAGTTTCCAGACGGGACGAATGCTTTCTTCCTTGGTGAGTATGCCTACGGCAGACCGCTAACAGTGACTGGACATCAGGCAGGGAAGATCAATTGTTTGCTCAGCGTTACCAAAGCGAAGAAGGATGAATTTGGCAGGCAAATTGCGAAGGCTGCCGAGCGCTTGTCACCGTACACACCCTCTTACGCAGTGGCAAAAGCCCTACAGCTCAATGCATTGGCTCTATCGAAGATCACGTCGTCCTTTTCTGTCAGAGTGGACGGGGATCAAGTCAATCTAGGACTGAACTTGAAATTCGAAGCCAAAAAACTCAAAGTGTTGGGTTACTCACGACGTGGAAGTACTGGCTGGGAGTTCAGTCGCCCGGCGATAGACTTGATTCAACAGTACATGATCAAATTCCCCGATTTCATTGCTGCCATTCATTCGAATCCTCAGGGCGACAGGCTTGACGCAACCGCCTTCTATCCTGGTGATCCACAGGAGGCCAAGGCTAAGATCAAGGAGATTCAGAGTTGGCTAAAAGAGATCGAGTCGAAGAGCTTCGAAAGAGTGCCTCTGGAAGCAGAGCAGCTCGATTCAGACGTGGTCAAGCAGATTGAACTAGCTGCCGATGAAGCGGTTCGAACAGAACCACCGCAAACGCTCAACACTATGAATGGACTCCCGAGAAGTGCCTTGCTTAAACCTTCAGACGCGGCGCACCGCCTGGGTGGCCAGAAATTTAGACTGGGAGACCGTGTCATCTACGCGGCAGATTCCGGCAAGGTTCCGATTGCAACCAAAGGAACTGTGGTTGGACTGACACAGACCACTCGCGAGACATGGCTAGACGTGGTTTTCGATGTCTCGTTCATGAGTGGCACGACACTTGGCGATAGATGCTCCCCATTCCGAGGGTCCACCGTACCGACCTGGTCAGTCTTGAATTTGAGTGAGTGGCAATTGTTGGCCATGTCCAAAGCTGGGGCGACAAGGCAAACTTCGACGCATTCCTCGCCACTGACGATACCGGGATACGGTGCACCTGGAATCAACGGACGCGGCGAACTCAACGAAGCACAGGCTCCACCGGCTCTTCGCGGTGGATGGAGAGCTGCTGTTGCTGGTCAATCATGGCGAAATAGTGGCAGAGCTAATGGTTCTATACCGAGAGGTCGGGGTTCTTCCAGTACCATTCGAAACCACTCAGATGGTGATCTCCCCATCCGTAGCCATTCCCAACCATCCATCAATGGCAGTCGAGGTGCAGGAGTGAACGGATACAGTTCTAGAGCACGGGGCGGCAACACGACTTGGAGTGGCTACCCGCCTATCGATCGTGGGAGCGAACAGGACAGCGTGGTGCGGAACAACCCCCACTTTAGACCTCAACAGCATCACAGCGTGGCCCCTCCAGCCAGTCTCGATACTACTACCAGAGGTAGAGGTAGAGGTAGAGGCTCTTTCTGGGGTGGCAGGGAACGTAGAGGTGAATCCAGAGGTGAATCCAGAGGTGGACGTGGCGGAGCGGATCGAGGCTGAGCGTTGGTTGGTGGGTACTCGAAGGGGTCAGCCGACAGAGTCTCGCGGTTCAAGATCGGCTGTACTGTTGCCGCTGTCAGAAGCGTTCTCTCGCTTAATGTTAATCTGTGGTGTTCAGTTCAGGCGGGATCTGTAGATGTGTGAGAGATCGAGTGCTGCAATACATGGTGGCTCGGAGCAGCTTGTTGCCGACTACGACTATTGCGGGTGAGGCACTGCTGCGTCTTCCTGATTACTCGTTCGATCATCCCGACCCCAAGCTACAACCTACGGCCTACAGGTGCGATAGCTCTCTTAGTAATCCGTGCTCTGACTATAGATGAACTGAACTGCGAACTGCGCACTGCGCACTGCGGTCATGCCCAACCTCTCATCTGCTTCTGTCTTAACCAGCCTTAATGTCCTGCTAGTAGCTAGTGACCGACTCCACCGCCCCTGGCTCGTGTCAATCCTCTCACCTTGTTCTCCCACCCACACGGATTTTCCATCCATTGCGGTTCTTGCGCAAAGGCAAATCCGGGTATTTGTGCATACTAGCCGCTATTGACATTCCTCTTGCCTCTGGCCAACGGGAGTGATGCTCCCAGGGGCCTATCCTTAGCTAAACCTTGATGAAGCAAGGGCTCCCGCACGACGCCAATGCTATTGGATCGCCATTGGATCATGTTGAATAGGTTCCTGAAGAGGAACAAACTCTCTTCTGCACAGGCCAGACTGCCTCTCAACCACGTACAAATCACCGTCCATCCCGCGCCCTCTCTTCCTGCTGGCATTTACAGCTGGGCAGCAATAATGTCAACACGAGAAGGACGGATGCTTTCCCCTCTTCCACTAAGGCTGCATTGCTCCCACATGCTTCACCCTACCGCATACTCCGTGCTCCTAGCTACATGGCTTGCCGGCAAGGATCCATTTGTTCTAGCTCTGGTCTTTCCCACTGCTTGCTACTCTGCACCACCCCACGTTCTGGCATTCGATCACCTGATTCAGCTCGGCCTTTGACCACATCTCCGGATCTCGACAGAGGACTAAGAAGCAAAGGCCGCCGCCTGCTAGGCCTAGCCGAGCCGGGGCCTCCAACTTGCCAGATCGGGTGACCTCTGCTTTCGGCCTCGAGGGTTTCACTCTCCCGTTGACTCTCCGGCTGACTCTGCTGTGTACCCCGTCCTCCTTTCTGGCTACTCACGATCTACCTGATATCTTCTTGCCAAGAAGTGTGGAGAACTGACGCACGAGGCACCGCGCTCTCCAATCATGCAACTCGTCCTGTCAGGCCATCGTAGACCACACCCAATCCATCACCCCCGGAGCAGAGTCTTCCAGTATCTTCCTTGTCTCTGTCTATCATCCTCTGTGGGGTCATCACAATCCTTTGCAGGACACAGAGTACAAAGTGGCCATATTGTTCCTGGTGTTGTGCGATCTGGCTATCGCCGATGCACTCGCTGGAGGCAGGAAATCAAGGAATATGACATTCTACAGACCTCCTTCTACTACAAGCTAATTTAGACCCTACATTTCCCCGGTCTTGGAGGCCATTTCTTGCTAAACATTCAGAAAAGTGCATGTGTGAGCTTAATAAACAAGATACAGAGTTTTGTTCGTGCTGGAAGAACCTAATCAAACGACGAGCATATCCCATCAAGTCACGTGGACACCACGATGGATACTTCAATCAACTTGATCACGGCACAGATCTCATTTTTGGTACATTGTGGACCTCTTTTTCTTTCTGTCTGCCCTCTGCTACTTGGGGAAAGGTCTTCTTCACATGCTCCACCATGGCAGCCTTTGTGGCCACCGGGTCCCTTCTGATAGACCATGACCCTGGCACAGTTCGACTAACATACCACATCACATTTCAGGAAGGTCGCTTTGCCTTGATCCACATTCCTCTCGAGTATTATCCCTTCTTCCTACAGCCGATCCAGCGACTTCTCTTCGGCGAAGACCACGATGAGGATGCCTTCAAGATTCCTTGGCCATATCGACATAATTTCCTAAACGTCTCCATTACTCCTATCGAATGCTCCATCGTTTGCTCTAGAGATCTAGCAACAAGGTTTTTCCGACCACTGGTTGAACGCTTCGCCGATCTCCTTGGAGGTGGTGATCAGAGCGATCATGTCCAGATCTCCCCGGAAGATTTTGCAGTTATCCAGGTAGATGGTCAGGGCCTAGATGCTGGACAAAGAGTCCTGGAATTAACGTCCCCTCTGGCATTGGCTGGGATGTAAGAGTCCCACTTTAGATGCTATATTGAGATCACGAGCTGACTTGTATCTTCTATTCATGTAGCTCCATCTTCTTCCAAACTACTTACTTCTCCGACTACATTCTTGTCCCTCACAAAAGCATCCACACCGTCATACAAACCCTTGAACAGAGAGGCTTCACATTCTCACCTTCTGCAGCTGCATATGTCTCCCATTTGTCGCCTTCATCGCCCATCACGCCTCGACACAGTCATCACTCTTCCACAGGCAACCCGTTCGATTTTCCTGGCAGCTCAAGCGCACCAAGTACTCCTCCGGCATCGAACATCGATGAGTTGCGAAAGCAGACCTTCTCTAAGCTGAAACGTGCCGGTATAGTGCCTGACGTTGACAGGAGCATCCGTCTCCTCTCCTGTGCTGCGCGCAAGGAAACGAACAAGGTTCTTATTGCTCAGCTCCGTGATGACCTGCTCCAAGTCCTTCTTGCAACCTGTCCCGGAACGAATACTCATCATAAAAATGACAATCAAGCCCCCAAATTTTCAACACGCTTCCTTTCGCTCACCTTGACGTCCGAGGAACCAATCTCACTTCTTCTGGAATCATCACTCCTGTCCAACCCAAACCTAGCACTTGCATCAACCCTTCTTTTCTCACGATCATCAACCTCATACAGGTCGGATGATGAAGGAAGTCCAGGAGCAGGAAAAAACGTCCTCATTCCTATCACTCTTGACCTGCGCGATCTCCCTCTGGAGGCAACAGGCATCATATGTGGTGTTGCTGGTTGTTTAGCTCAAGTCACCACCCATAGCGACCATTATAAGGATGGCCGGATTCGCATAGACGACGACGGGAAGAATCTCAGCCCAAAAACTGTTAACACTGAATCCTTCATGAAACAAATCGAAGTAAGACCAGGTTCTGCTGGTGAGGCCGAAGCACAAGACAATGCGGTTGAAATATCCTTTCTTTCGACAGCACGAGCCGGGACAGTGATTGTTCGAGAAAGAGAATTGGAACGGGCGATCCGAGCTCTGGAGTTTGGTGCCGAGATGGTCAGCCCTCCTAGAGTGGGAAACACAGAGATTTGAAGTTGAGAGAATGATTCCACAAAGTAGATTGCTGTTTCCACGGGGCAAGCTTTGGGAAAAAAGAGTTGCCGCTTCTCAGAAAAAGTTAAGAAGTAAAGGCACTGAAGACTGGCCCTTGATATCTCCCTCTTCTTCATACTAGCATACAATCGCAGACAGACTAGACAGCATAGCACAGTACCGAATAACAGCTACGAAGATTCGCATTTCGCGACCGACAGACGAATGCAAGCGCGTATATGAAATCACCAGTTCTATGAGATGTTGATTCGCTGAGCGAGAGATGAACTCTACCTCAGCCAAGAAGCGAAACGTGACGTTCTCCAGGATCCTGCGTTTTGTGTTTGTGATCCATCTACCTTCTCATCGACGGCTCTTCGTCACCATTTTCTTCTTCTCCCTCTTCCCCCTTCTCACCCCGCCGGCCCTACCAACACCTCACCCACACCCGGGACGGGACGGGACGTCTTGAACTGCGAAATCAGCAGCGAGAATTTTACACCACACGTACATATCCATATGGACCTTGCAAGAATTTTGCGCAGCTCATCCTAATTGTCAATTGCGCCTTCTTACAATCTTATCTTACTTATCCTTATCTCGTTTCCCGCGCCCCCCTCCCCGTCCCCCGTCTTTTCCGCTGCCGTCCACGGGAGAAGCCGTCGATGTGGCAAATGCGCTTTTCGCATATCATGCAGCAGCAGCAGGAGCAGAAAGTCAAAGAGAGTCAAGGCAGGGACTATATGATATTACGACTCGTCTTCCGTTGCTATTGCTGAGCAGGAAATTACTTGGTGAAAATTTTTAGATAGGTAGACAGTCAGTCAGTCAGAGACACGCACAGAGAGGGGAGAGAGACACGATCTATATCTATATACAGTGGCTTATTATACACGAAAGAACTCCCTTTAGCTTAGCTTAGCTTAGCGAGCTGGGTCGAATCGAGCGTAGAAGTACCTACGTAAATACTCCAAAGTCTCGCGGGTCTCGGTCAGTGATACCTACCTACCGACTGCAAGTATCAAGCATCTGAAACCTGAAACCTGAGAGCTAAAAGTTGAAAAGTCGCCAGCAAGGAAGGTCGAGAAGGAGCTGCTATATTGGCTGTACAGCGTACAGATACGCTCACGATTATATATACACATACGGAGTACTCATACACAACGATATACATATATATAGCGAGAGATACAGAGAGATACAGAGAGAGAGAGAGGCACATCAGGCCCGGAAAACCCGGAATCCTTGTATACAGCAACCGAGTTTTTTTTTAAGATTACAACAAGCTGGATATAATACAGCTAGCTAGCACGAGCGAGTGAAAGGAATACTGTAAGTGGAAAAACCGGCAAGCCTGGATTTCCTGTCATGGCCCTCTCTCTCTCTCTGCGTCATCCGTGTCGGTGTCGATGTCCGTGTCGGTGAACGTCATCGAAGGTGATATGAGGCATCTACGCCCCAAGCGTTCTTGGTAAGGGGTAGAAATTTTTTCTCTCGGAAGGCTTCTCCCCGCGCTGTGGCAGGGGGTAAAGGGGGGGTGGGTCTGATGAAGAAGAAGAGAAAGAAAGAAAGAAAGAGAGGAAAAAATTAATAAAAATAGAATTAGGTGGAAATGATACAAGACTTCGGGCGGCTTTGGGCATCATTACATAACCGAGTCGAAGCTACGTTGCCGTCTGGACATCGGGAGGGGTGAGAGTGGTTAGGAATCGCGAGAGCGTCAGATCATTGGTGTAGATTTGTTCCATCTGTTTTTTTTGTTTGGGCTCGCTTGCGTACCTGTTCTAGATTAACAGATGGATCATGTGCATACCGTGACGTACGTACGTAAATACATACGTATATTCCTTCGGAGCCTATGCCGGCATGTATGCATATCCGGCCTCGACTCGGAGTCTTTACACAGTTATGCAAGCGAGATCACAATAACCATGCATGCATATTTGCATGCATCTTGCATTGCTTCACGCTGCGCACATCGCAAGCAGCTCAACCTCGCTCTTGAGTCCGGGGGAATACAACCAGTAACCAGCATCTGCACCGTTGATCGATTGATCGATCGCGTCCGTGATCATGCCCACCCTTGTCCGATGTACGTAGTAGTAAGCACATTAACCTTCATCTGCTTTGAGCCGTTGGCATGTGTGTGTAACCAAACTTCTTTTCGGTTAAACTTTGTTTGAGTCAGGTATACTTGCCTTTCTTCAGACGAGTAATATAACCCACTCTTACTCCTGCATCATGCTGGTCTCCCGTTAAAACATGTCCGCATCGCCCCATCAGCCTGAAATTAATGTGCTTGCATCGCGGCACCCGCCCTTCCCGGATCCACAATGATGGTTCAGCCGTTTAAGTGAATCGCCTATCGAATTCTCTGAGCACAGCCATGACGTTTGCTGCGTCGATTTCTAGTGCTGGTCTGCCTTCCACCATTATTCCTCCACCTCCATTTCCAGGTACACTGACGTCCACACCTGCTGCGCTGCCGTTAGACCCGGCCTGCCACTCAGAGGATGAGCCAATGTGATCAGCCGGAATGGCTGGTGTGGCGTGTAACCTCGGCAACCATCTTGCCATCTCGCCCGTCGCTTTCGTGTAGCCAGGATGGCGTGAGAGGGTGGTGTATGCATCTGCGCAGCTGAGTGTTATTGTTGGTAGTTGGGATACATTTTCTTCTTCTTCTTTTCCGTCTTCTTCGCTGTTGGTGTTTTGATTGCAAGATCTTGTCCTTCGAGTTGGTGCGGTGCTTCTCTTCGAAGCGTCAGCTTGGTGGCGTGGCCCGGTCGCTTGGCAGCATGCATTCCCGTTGGTGGCGTTCGCACTGCAGCACCCATTTTGCTGCTGGTGTGAGGGGATGGAGACAATTTTGCCTTTCTGCTCCCGGGATTTTGCAAGCGATTTGCAGAAGAGTGTGCTGTTCGGGTCGGAGCGGCATTGGAGGCAGGTTCCAGGCCCATTGATGCAGGGATCGGATGACGAAGAGGAGTACTGCTGCCAGCCTGATGGATTGGGGATGGAGACATCTGTATCTGATGGTGGAGGTGTGATGTGAGAGAGTTGAGATATGCGTGGGAAGAGCGAGGAGCTGCTTTGTTGTTCAGACCCTAATTCCAGACTTTGAGAAGTAGTGTGATTCTGATCGAAGGTGTGTCTCTGCTGGTCATTGCTATGACTGTTGATGTTATTGGCCTCGGCTTCTGCCTGCATCTGAGCACATATACAGGGTGTACCATCTGTACAAAATCCACAGGGGTCAACACTAGCGGAAGGGGAAGATGGTGAAGTGCGACTTTCTCTGGTGTTTCCGCTCTGCTGCATGGAGAAGGAATTTGTGAAGTCGGTCTCGAGGTCATCAAGTGGTTCCGCTTTGATGCGCTTGGAATTTGAGTGGTTGTGAGGTGGCGAATGTGGTCTCTTATTTGATGTTACATCTGCGTGATGAGCATTTGGGTCCAAGCTTTGCATGTTGATGACCTCCTGGATGCAGCGGCAATTGCTGATAGAAGAGCAATTGCCGCAACCCGTGACTTCATCACCATCTTGCGGCAGTTCACCCTGAGTTTTATCATTCGGAGACCTTGCTACTGTAGCTCGTGTTGCTTCCTTCGAACGTTGAAGCGCTTCCTCCTTCGCCGCACTCTCTATGGCGAGGTCAGCCTCGAGTCCACGGCATCTTTGCATCCAGAAATCTAAGCTGGTCCGATACTCCTCAACTTCCTTGTCCAGTTTGTCGATTCGTGCTCTCAATGCATTTTTTTCCTCCTCGTCCTCCATCTCAATCTTTTTGAGTTCTTCTTCCAATTCACCAACCCGCGCCGCCCTGCGTTCTCGAAACGCCTTTTGAGCAGCTCGGTTCTGTGCTTTTCTCTTTGTTGGTGGTGCATCTGTAGCGGGCTTTCGACCTGGCTTTGGCCGCGGTGGAACGACCCATTCTTTCGAGGTCAGAGAAGTTAGTGGAGAAGTAACGCCAGATGTTGCAGGGATAGCGGATAAAGGGTCGCCGGAAGACTTGGGAGTAATAGCTGTTTGGCTTGACTGCGCACTGCCGGCAGGGGCAAGCAGTGGAGGTGAGATTGCTATTGGTGAAGCTTGTGCCATCTTCGCTTTCTGGTTGACGAGAGCTCTGTACCCTGCATTCCGCGACTCATATGAAGTATTCCCGCCTTAGCTGATTAATACACAATAGTCCCATATACACTTGAACAAGAGTCTAATAACCGAGCTTTCGGAAGGCAGATTGCTAAGTCGACTGGCTCTGTGGCTCCAAAGTGGAGTGATTTCTATCTGATCAGATAAGATCCGAAAGCCGGAGCCGTGGGTCTTGGCTAGTTACTCCTTTGGGAGAAGAGAAGCCTTGGCAAGCTTTGTTCTCGTACTAACTAAGTAGTACTAACTACCTTAACAGTAGTAAGTAGTTAGTAGTAGTAATAGTATTAGTAGTTGCAACCATCATGTCAACGCACACTCCGTCTCTGAAATACTGGTCAGTACTGAAACATTATCCAATTCATATTGTGATACAGATATGAGGAGCGTACTGAAAAGCCAGATATTGCTCCTGACGCCGCGCTGCCCGGGTCTAAGCATACCATCCACTCATCCTGACATGCACTTTTGTACAGATGGAGCAGCAGAGCTGGCTATTTGCGTATCAAAACTTCTTCCCATGTACTGGGATACCTTCAGCAACTGGTTCCGCACCCGCTTGCATACCGCCAATGTAGGAAGCACCCCAAACACCTAGCAGACCCCACATACCTACCCTCCATCCACGGTAGAGTCCTTCTATACCCTGACCCTTTCGTGGCCTTCTGGCACTTCTCTCCATCACTGCAACTGCCTTGTTTGTCTTGGGTACCGGATTTCCTTCCTCTTTCACAATACTCCACATGGTCGGGATAATACCTCTATAGATCTGTGGGACTGGGACGATGGTCTCAATGGCCTTTCGCGACGATGAAGGAACAGGAGGTGCTCCAGGTGGAGCGGTCCAGGTGGCTATTTGAGCTCTGCGTAAGACCGTCTCGAATGGCCACCTTACTACTAGCTCGATGGCAGATAACGCAAACGTAGCAATGCTCCAGCTGTTTGGATTGAGAACAGGATCGATGTTGAGATAATTCTTCAAGATCAGTGGTGTCGAGGATGATATGAGGGCTGAGGTTGTAGACGTGAAGAAGGTGATGGGTAGCAAATGTGGCAAAATCAGATAGCTTGGAGAAGGTAATGTTTTGATAGTGGAGAGTAGTGACCTTGGAGAGAGACTGGCTGGAGTGAGTATCAGACGAGTTCGTGCAGCGTCTATCGGGCTGAGTAGAATTGAAGAGAGTGTTGAAGATGTTGTAGCAATCATAACGCTGGCGAGCGGAGCGGTAGATGTGAGTATAGCTGTACTTGGCATAGCCCCGGCAGAGGACAGGGTGAAGATATCGCCCTCGGGTACACCAAGGATTGCGGCTAGTAAGGATCTGAAGAAGGCTTCGAATGTTCGATAAAGGATGGTATAGACGAATGTTGTATTTGTTGCACGCCAGAGGGAAAGGGCGCCGCTATTTGATGACAGGGACGACAAGGCATCAACAAGAGAGGCGGGATCCTTGATGGAAAGTCGGTGGCTCAATGATGATTTGGATGGTGCTGGAGAATATTGATGCTTGTGACCATTCAAACGCTTCTGTGGTCGTCTTGTTCGACCTCGGGCTGGCGAGAAAGAAGAATCCTGTTCCGGAGGTGTATTTGAGGTGAAGAAGTTTGGCTCCTCATCCGAGGAATCCACAAATTCATCGTCGTGATATTCGAATGGTCTTTCCTTCTCTGACTCGGGCCCAACAGCTTGTTCTTCTTGCGCAGTGTGGACCTGTAGTATGAGTTTGGCCACCTCGAAGGGTTGCGCCATCAAGACGCTTGCATATTTCCATACTGCTTTATCAAGCAATTCTTTCACAGATGCTGATATTGAAGGAGAGGAATCTGGTAGATAATCGGAATAATCCAGGTCTCCGAACGAGAAGCTCGAAGATGATGTACCTCCAGCGGTTGACTTAGGAATACTGCTGGAGCTATTAGGCAGAGGCTCAGAGGCAGTTCCAACGATCGGAGGTACGTAATAAGGACGAAGGGGATTTGGACCCTCTCTCGAGGTCGCCATTGTAGAAGAATCCTCCCAGTGTCTCTACAGACTGTAAATGCTCTCTGGTTGATTCTTGCAAACCGAGATCAAAAGTTGGAGAGATGCGCTGCGGAGAAATTATTTCCGTGCATAGGATCATACTCTTCTGATCTCTCAATTCAAACTTTGTTCTTCGAACACTTTGTTAGGAAGACATCAAACAGAGCTTGAGTTGGCTAGTTATGTCAGGATGGAGAACTGTGACAGCGCGACGACTGCTCTCGACTGCCTCGGGAGTCGCTGAAATATCTCCCCGAGTCACGACATACACCCTTGCCTCAAGAGCTACACTTACCCGCAACTCGACTCGACAACACCATATTACTGTTCCCCGCTGGAAGCAAGAAATGATCAGATCATACTTAGGCAATCTATCAAGGGCGCGGCGGAAATTCACAACTTCTTCAACCCAAAGGCACGGACACATAGATCCGCCTAAACCAGGCGAGGAGTTAGTCTACCGCTGCTCGTGAACTATCTACAGCACTGATGGTCCTGCCTCCACAGACTTCACGTCACCTTCATCGACAAAGACGGTGACAAGCATACGTTTGAGGTCGCGAAAGGTGACAACCTTCTCGACATTGCTCAGGCCAACGATATTGAGATGGAAGGTTTGAGGTGGCTGTCACTGTGTCTCGACTGACTTGGCTGACCGGAGTATAATCTAGGCGCTTGCGGTGGATCTTGCGCCTGCTCGACTTGTCATGTGATCGTGCAGGACCCAGACTTATACGATAAACTCGAGGAGCCAGATGATGATGAGAATGATATGTTGGATCTTGCTTTCGGTCTGACGGAGACATCTCGATTGGGATGCCAGGTGAAGATGTCGCCGGAGATCGATGGGATAGTGGTGAAACTTCCAAGCATGACGAGAAATATGCAAGCAAGCGACTTCGAGAAGAAGTGATCTTGACAGATACGATATCCGCCACCAACATCACATCGGATACATAGCGTACATCAAGCTGTGTTCGCGTACCCGTAGGACCATTTTCAGGTCATTTGCCACGGACGTTCTTCTCGCTCAGACGTGATGTCCAGCAATCTATATTCAATGATCTCCTGTCCTTATGAAATTATCTGTCACCTCGATTCATCGATGGGTTTAGTTTTCGAATCACCATTTATCAGAGCCAAGAATCCCTGCTTGCTCATCTCGTTTATCTTTTCCTCTCTGTTTGCGTATCCAACCGTGCCGTTTTTGCGGGCCTCTCTGGCAGCTTCTTCGGCTTTAACTTGTGCAGCACGAACTGCATTGAATAGCTTGACCACCCCTCTTTGCGCGATCTTCCGTAGCTTCTTCTCCTCCTCTCCAACTTCTCCTGCCATTCCCGATTGGAGCCCTAAGACATCTTTCACCCTGCCACGCTCCAATTCCTCTTGTCGATCTGCACAGATCTTCGCCTTTGCCCGCCGTTCTAATTTTTCGTTGGCGATTGCATTGCTGATATCCGCAGCTTCTCGACTTCGGGATAGTACAGGATCCTTTCGAGCACTTTGCGATAGCTTGGTTGAGAGAATTTTAGATATGGATGTTGAGAATGCATTGGGATCATTCCGCTTGCTCGTAGGCCTTTTCTCTTCTCCAGGTCGAACGGCTTCGTCTCCCTCTTCGTCAGAACTCAACGAGGAGGCATCATCTTCCGAATCACTACTTCCTCCTGTGATTGATGTGTCTGTGCTATTGCCCTGCTTGTCGGTTGGGACACTCTCTTTCCTTGCATTATCGTCTGACTCCACCAGGTCGATGGGTGCAAATTCATCGCCTGACGCTTCATCAGCATCCTCAGATGAGCTATGGTATTCCTTCTGTTTGCGAACGCGCTTCTTCGGTCGTTCTGTCCTTCCACGCATAGCGTCTTCTATTTTTCGTTTTTGAGAAGGCAGAGGTGCCATTGCAGCATGGGAAGATTGCTACAGTTAAAGGCTCTGATCAAATCTCATAGCACTTGAGGCAGTATGTACATTTGCCTCGAGGAAATTTATGGAGTAATATTCTGTCCGCATTTAGTGCCAAGCAACGTGCACAGCTAGAGCGAATTAGCGCCCGTTGGTGTTGCGCTAAGTTCTAGCGACGGATCGGCCGTCTCCCATCACACTTCCTTTTACTTGTCATTTCAATCCCCTGTCCTTATAACACTTACACCATTATCCATCAATGCAATAGCAAGAACACTTACATCTGACGTGCAATAATGCATTAATACGACGATAAATAATAGCTGAGTAACAGGTGTTGGTGCCTTTCTTCGTCACGGACCATACTCATCGGATCGTCTTGCTTCCCATGTGAGGATATACGAAGGAGTCTGAGCACGCAGACCGCAATTCGGGTCCGCGCGTGCTTGGACCCAGTTCCCAAATCTCAGAAGACCACACGTCTCTTTCGAGATCTGAGTTCCTCTCCTTAAACATCGGGAAATCATGGAGCAATCCAACTGGTCAACAACCCTACCCGAAATGTTACGCAATGGCAATCATCCTACACAAGTGTCGAAGTAGAATCTGTGAGGCCTGAGACGGCCTCTCGCAGGAGCTGAATACTCGTCAACTCGAATCTTATCATACTTTCAATGTCGACTGAATGTCGCAGTGGGTCGCGAGGTAAGTCGCAGATGGCTGCGAAGGACGAAGATTGACTCCCTTTGGCGGTATTTGAACCGGAGGTCTCATTGATCTTTTCGACCTCAGCGCGTACTCTGCAGAGACTAGCATCGTTGTACCGGTATGCATCAAATGTCCCGCTTGCTGCGATGGCTTGGCGAGCTCGCTGGGATCCAGCCGAAGAATGATTTGCGAGTCGCCTTGCTTGACGGCATGACCTTGGTGTGAGAGGGGCTGGAACACGACAGCCCGTACAATACTCCACTAATATCTTTTATAGAATTCTTTCTAATGTTAAAGTCTAACTATTGTTACTGTGTTGAATACTAGCATGGGTCATTTCCAGACTGTTTACCAAATTTTCTTCTTGAGGGGTGGTCATACTGACGAGATTAATTGACATCTTTGAAGGAATACAAGCGGCTCTGCGTCGTCGATCTATTGTGAATGATGAACTGTTGGACGTTATGGTACTGAAAAAGTCTGCGCCAAGAAGTATCTGGGTACCTTATACTAAGTATGAATGACTCCAAGCGCTAATTTCAACTACTGTCGATGGAGTGGATAAGTACGGGAACATAATTCTTGCATTTCCCTTCCTCCACCCCTCACTATTTCTATCTTTCTTCCCAAGCATACCTATCAACATTTCACATCATAACACAAGATCTCTCAGCACCGAAGAAGTCCTAGCCGTTCGATCGCATATTCAGTCTGACCATAATTCTTAACAACCGACCAATTATCCTTCATTAGCCATGCAATCCAGCAACATGGATACAAAGATCAAAGCTCGTCTCCTCATCATCTCTGACACACATGGTATGGACTTCAGTCCTGCGGATAAGCCACTCCAACAGGCAGACGTCGCCATCCATTGCGGCGATCTGACGGACGGCTCCAAGCTTGAAGAGTTCCGGACAGCCGTTCAACTACTTAAAGACATCAATGCACCCTTTAAGTTAGCCATTGCGGGCAATCACGATTTCACCATGGATATTCCCACGTATGAGAAGAAGGTGGTAGAAGCAGTGCCACCAGTAGATCCAGAGCTCGTAGTGAAAGAGTACGGTGCTGTAGGAGAAGCAAGGCGGTTGTTTGAAGAAGCGAAGCACGCAGGTATAGCGTTCCTCAACGAAGGGACTCACTACTTCACACTCGAAAATGGGGCGCTGCTAACGGTCTATGCCAGTCCATATACACCTGCATTAGGCACATGGGGGTTTCAGTACCATCCAGAACGAGGACACGACTTCTCCGTTGGGAGAGGAGTCGACATCGTCATCACTCATGGTCCACCAAAGGGCATCATGGATTACACTTACGGGCGAGAAAGGGCGGGATGCCCATACCTTTTCGCAGCTGTTGCCCGAGCCAGACCACGGGTACACTGCTTCGGCCATATCCACGAAGGTTGGGGTGCAAGACTGGTTACCTGGCGAGATGTCTATGGCGGGCAACCGACGCATTTCACAGCTATTGACAACGAGAGGTCCCTTGTGGTAGAAAAGCTTGCACACCTAGAGCCATCCAGATTCGACACCCAGGCGGACGCGGAACAGAGATTGAAGAAACTGGAACGTTACAGTCAGGACAGATGCTGTGCGACCAGCCATTGCCTCGCAGATGAAAATCCTCTCGAACATGGCAAGCAGACGCTGTTCGTCAATGCGGCTATATCCGGCAGTGGGTACCTAGTGCAAAGGCCGTGGCTAGTTGATGTCGAGCTACCGAGAGCTTGCTAGAATGGCAAGTGAGGGAGGGAAGGAATTTGAAGGATGGGAGTATGGGTAGAGCTGTGGTCTTGGGATGGTGGCCATGCAGTTAGCTCTTAGAATAAGAGCATTTGGAAATCAAACATGACTAGAAGGACTAGGAAATTTGAATGAGATACTCCCGCCTTATGCTTTCCTACCACCACAACGGCAGGCATATTGAATCATGACCTAGAGTATTTACCGTAGCAAGCGCCTCGCACAAAGCTGCCCTTTTAGAGAAGATAGCAGAGATAAAAGGAGTAAACTTCAAGTAAGCAATAGCGTTGATGCTATGGACCATGCCAATTGATGTATACTCTGTAGCTTGGCGTATTTCAGGAAACTTATCTTGACCACATTGGTCCATTGGTCGGTCATCCAGATTGACAGCTGTCATTAGCACCTCTGAAGATCCGCATCTCGATTCCTCTTTACTCCTCGACACGTTTTTCTTGGTGACGGATGACATCAAGGTCCCTATGCAGCCCTTTCTTGTAAGCATTTGCGTTGGCTTGGGCAATCAGATTAACGGTTCGCCATCAAGGTATATCGGACCAACAAGCAGGAACATCCAGATAGACAAACCCAGGGTAGGGTCTCGTCGAGTGATGGACACAAGGAAAGTAGAGTTAGATAGGAGAATATAAGATTGAAGGGCGCATAGTAATAATGTGCCGACGGGCCTCATCCAACACTTTCATTCCGTATGGCGCACCGTGCCTCCAAATGTCACGGGATCAAAGGTCATGGTGATTTGAGGTAGATGACTTCCACAGACCTCGCCTAGTGGCCGGTGGATGTGGAGATAAGGGGTGAGCTGGAGATAAAGAGCGGCTGGAGGGCTTGAAATGCCAAGCTTTAAACATCCACCGCCACCACTGCAGGTGGACCACAGTAGTCAGTAGTAACGAGAAGACGTTGAGGATCAAGTCCACTTCGGCGAAATGCGTCTTCCACTGGGGTCCTGACTGAACAATCGTAAGAAAACGGAGGGTCTCGCAGACAGAGTCTACACAAGTCGGTCATCATGGTCCTTTCGGACCTTGGACGGCGCATCAATGCGGCCGTGACTGACCTTACAAGATCGCAGAATCTTGATGAGAAGGTAACATGAGTGGGCCCTACTTCGTAATGCCCTCGCTCACCAGCTCTGTGATAGGCGTTCGAGTCTATGCTTAAAGAACTCTGCAATGCACTGGTGTCTGCCGATGTCAATATTCGCCTCGTACAACAACTTCGAAAATCCATCAAAGCCAAAGTTGACTTCAAGAACCTCCCCCCGACCACCAACGCAAACAGCAAGAAGCGATTAATACAGCAAGCTGTCTTCGACCACCTCGTCGACCTCGTCGACCCACATGCGGAACCATACAAGCCTAAAAAGGGCAGATCGAATGTCATCATGTTCGTTGGACTGCAGGGTGCTGGAAAGACAACCACATGTACAAAGCTTGCTCGACATTACGCCCAGCGAGGCTTCAAAGCCTGTCTGGTCTGTGCCGATACCTTCCGGGCTGGCGCATACGATCAACTCAAACAGAATGCCACCAAAGCCAAAATACCCTACTACGGCTCTCTTACTCAAACCGATCCTTCAATCGTGGCCGCCGAGGGTGTCGCCCGCTTCAAAAAGGAGAAGTTCGAAATCATAATTGTTGACACGTCCGGCCGGCACAGACAGGAAGCCGACCTCTTCGCCGAAATGGAACAAGTCCAATCAGCCATCAAGCCTGACCAAACAATCATGGTCCTCGACGGCACCATCGGCCAAGCCGCCGAATCGCAATCCTCAGCCTTCAAATCCACCGCCAACTTCGGCGCCATCATCATCACCAAAACCGATGGCGGCGCCGCAGGAGGCGGGGCCATCTCCGCCGTCGCTGCAACCCACACGCCCATCATTTTCCTTGGCACGGGCGAACACATGCTGGACCTCGAACGCTTCGCCCCGAAACCCTTCATCTCGAAACTCCTCGGCTACGGCGACATGAGCGGTCTGATCGAACACGTCCAAGCGGTGACCAAGGACAACGCCTCGGCGAAAGAAACCTACAAGCACATCAGCGAAGGCATCTTCACCCTCCGCGACCTGAAAAGCCAAATCACCAACGTCATGAAGATGGGACCGCTATCCAAAGTGGCCGGCATGATCCCGGGCATGTCCAACATGATGGCCGGAATGGACGACGAAGACGGCTCGACCAAGATGAAGCGCATGATCTACATCTTCGACTCGATGACAGAGAAGGAGCTCGATTCCGACGGCAAGATGCTTATCCAGCAGCCCAGCCGCATGACGCGGATCGCGCATGGCTCGGGCACCAGTGTCCGCGAAGTCAAGGATCTGCTCACCCAAGCCAAGATGATGGCCGGCTTCGCCAAGAACATGGGCGGCCAGAAGAAGAACATGCAGCGTGCCGAGGCCATGATGAAGGGCGGCAACAAACAGCAGCAGATGGCGGCGATGCAGAAGAGGATGGCGAGCATGGGCGGCCAGGCTCCCGGGGCGGGCGGCAGGGGTGGGATGCCCGATATGGGCAAGATGATGCAGATGCTGCAGGGGATGGGCGGCGGTGCTGGTGCTGCGGGCAGCAGTGCAGGCGGAATGCCCGATCTGGCCGGAATGGATATGAATGCCCTGATGCAGCAGATGGGCGGCATGATGGGCACCGGGAGAGGCAGAGGCAGATGATCCATCACTTAGAGTATTTCTGCTTCCCGCTTCTTGCTTCCCGCTTCGCCTTCTCCCACTGCCACCGCTCTTCTACACCCACAATTACGAGTTCCCCCAAGCGGGAAGTGTGCCGCATACTCCAGTGCAGGCGTCGGAATGGCGTGTCAAATCGTCCATTTATCAAATATATACACATACAGCACAAGACGCGAGCATGGTTGCTTGATGTATCACACTGCGCGCGCTTTACGAACCGGGATCATTGATGCGCGCGTAGTCTTACGGCGGATCTGGTGGCGCTACATCTGATCGCAGGAAAATTGATATGGAAACGGAGATGGAGTTGGAGTTGGACTGATGGATCGATCGAGGGAGGGAGGGAGGGCATATTCTGCCGCGGACACACTTTCGATTCCAACGCTGAATCAGATTGGGGATGGTGTTGGTGGTTGGTTTAGCTAGTGTCAGCCAGGAGTTTCCTTTCCATTCGAGAAGAGGGGGGCTCTCGAGCTGCAACGAAGTTTCACGGACTAGAACTGCTCTTACTACGTATGGAGATCGTGCTCCGGACACCCAAGATCCAATTCGAAAAGAAAAAGTGGGGGTATTATGAGTCCATCTTTCTCGCATCTCCTATCTCAGACTGCAGGGGGAAATCATAACCAAAGCCACCGATCCACGACTCAGCTCATAGCCAAAGGCTTTCCCCACTGCCCACCAGCAGCTCCTGCACTCCGCTTCCCAACGCCCCAGCACCGCCACCTCTACTGCTCTCCCAAAACTCTTCCGCAGGAGAAGTCAACACATACTCCCACTTCAGCTCCGCGTCAACATAGAGACTGTACCTCATCAAGCTCTTGGTCCTGTCCCCCTCCACCCCCTCAACGTGCACAACGCCCACCTTGCTATTCCCATCCGGCATGTATTTGATCGTCACATCCTCATCATCGACCTGTTTGAAGGTCCGGAAGGGCAGATAAAACATGGAGAGCGGACCCACGGAGAATTCGTGGGGTCCAGATTGCGACGTTGAGCGCAGGTTTGGAGGCACGGTCCTGCTTCTAGATGAGAGGAGGGCACCGGGGGCTAGTGATGGTGGGGGAGGGAGAAGATAGGGCTGTGGATGTGGGAAGCGGATGGCGCCGAATTCGTGGCGGTCGCCGCTCAGTATGACGACGCGGACCCCGAGTTTGCGCTCGGCGTAGTGCATTGCCGATAAGACGGTGGCGCGTTCGGCGGGGAAGCCGGCCCAGGTGTCGAGGGTGCCGAAGCGCCAGTTTTTAGTGAAAGGGACGGAGGTGGTGAGGATTTTCCAATGGATGTGCGATGGTTCGGAGGTGCGAAGGTAGGTGAGGAGGGTTTGGAGTTGGGTGGCGCCGAGGATAGTGGTGTTGGGATTTAAAGGGTCGAGCGGGTCGGGGGTGGTGCGGTAGGTGCGCGTGTCGAGCATGAAGAAGGAGGCTGGGCCGTTGGTGAATTGGAAATAGGTTATGTTGGGATTGGCAGGTAGGAGGTAAGGTGGTGTGGGTGGGTTTACGCTGACGTGGTAGTGGTAAAAGGGGTCACTGGCCGAGGGATATGGTGGAGTTGTGTTTCCGTTGGACCAGTCGTTAGCGATTTCGTGGTCATCGAGCGTGTGGAGCCAGGGGAGAAGTTTAAGGTGAGGTAGAGCCCACGAGGGTGAGGCGTAGACGCGGCGATATTCGGCGCGGTAGTGAGAGACAGTAGAGGAGAGACGGAGAGGGACGTCTACATATATGAAATCACCCAGGAAAAGCATGAATTGAGCTGGGGAAGGGATGGAGGCCAGGATGTCTGACAGGTGTTTGAAGCCAGGGATTTCCAGGGCATGGTTGAGAGGATTGTAGGGGAAGTTGGCCTTGATACAAGAAGACGTGACGAACGTGAGGGATGTTGCAGCTGAGGTCCCTGGAGCAGGTGCGGTGGTGAAATTGCCAGTCAGATCGTTAGACAAAGCATAATCATATGTCGTCGCTGACTGTAGCCCAGTGAAGGTAACAGGATAGGTGTAATCGGTTTCTTCGTCCAGGTAGTAGATCTTATCAGCTGTTATCCAGAAACTCGAATCCTCGGGTTTGTAGTAAGCGTAAATGGGGAGCTGCTTGCTGTCTGGTTCCCTGAGCAGCACCTTCGCTGACGTGGTGTCCACAAACCCGACACGCGAGAAGCGAAGATTCTCAGCCGAATGTAGAGTAGGCGCTCGGAAGACAAGATCAAGGGCGAAGAGAGTAAGCAGAGCATTTATTGCAATCGTGGCATAGCTCCACGCTTTCAACCGAGGATGCGGAAGACCGCTGAGAAGGATGCTGCGGATGGTAGAGGTCTTGGGCTCTTCGTACACGGCCGGTGTTTCCAGCTCTGTACCCATGGTGCCATGGACCAGCTCATCGTGCTTTCGGTGGGCATCTACCACCACTCTAGGAACGCTCTTTCTCAACGCGACGAAGATGTACTCGTGGTTGAGGACAATGCTGGCGATGTAAATGGCAAAAGCAGTGAGAATGAGGGGAGGGAAGTGATGACCTGGTATCTACAGCAGAAGGAGGTTAGCACATTCGAGCCTCATGAGGGGGGGGGGAAGAGAGGGAGGCTACCCAGCGCAAGAAGATGTACGCAGACAGTCTGAGAATGAATGAGCTGCCGATAGTCACGATATCTGACCTATCCCACATCTTGGCCTTCAGCCTGGCTTTGGTGATCAGCTCACTGCCAACTGCAGGGAGCATGCAAGCAGCTGTGACATTTTATCGTGTGCGACAATGTCAGCTTGCCAGAATATCACATTATGCTGATGTTTGTCTTGTTGTACGTTGGTATGCGCTGCGGACGACGATGACGTGCATTGGGCAGCAACCAGAAAGCTAGAGTGACAGGATCACTTAGAGCCCAAACGTACTACGGGGGAGGCATAAGTATTGTTAGTCTGGTGCTAGTAGCGGCTAGCTCTTCTTACTCCGTTGTGGTGCCGTGATTTGTTATTGCAAAGCTTGATTGAAGCATGACCATTCAAATGAGCTAAAATCTTACTCTTAGTCTAATATGGGCTTAGCTGTTTCCTATAAAGAACGTTTTGGAGTAAAGATACTAGCGGTGAACTAACAATAATTCATGGCCCCCTCGTAGTTAGTTACAAGTAGCTATGACAGTATAGCAAAGAGTATCATGTGACAGGGCTTGGCCAGCTATACCAAGCCTGTCATGTACCAGCGCCTAGATTCGGCTTAAATATTATATCTGTTACAGCACGTGAACACGCCAAGCACAGACAGGCACTACGGAGCTGCCTGGCGCTCTGCGAAGGAACTATGACAGACTTGGACAGGACTGGACCCTGAACTGCATACAAGGTCACACCTGGACAACGTAATGATCAGAGGTGATCAGGATGAGCACTCATGAGCAATGATCAGAGGTGATCAGGATGATCAACTCTGAGCACGAATCTTCCAGCCTATATAAGCACGCTCATTTCCCAGATAGTTTCATAGTCTTCATAGTCAACTCATGTCATCAGCTCTTACCTAGAAGTTGAAGACATCTCGTGATCTACTTGTACACCCCCTGTTCTACAACCCAAACCCTTTGGACCTCACTCCCAGTTAAGACTTGTCTTGACTTGTTGAGCCCTAACAATATCCTCTCTTACTTACGTAGTAAACTTAAGTACTACCTTGAATATAACGGTTATAAATAGGTATAAGGAGGCGTATCTCAAGATTTCATTTTATTAGGAAGAATCGTGATTATAACAAAAATACGAAAATAGCATTCAGACTCTTCTTCAAAGACTTTTTTAGCGACTAGCAGGGTATGACATTCTAGATAATGGTGCCTTTCAGCATCCCATTCTTTGCAACACATTCTCTTCATCCAGTAGCGGACAACTGAAAATGGCAGCAGTCGATAAATTCTCTTCATCGAATACCTGACGACTGGAAATGACAGCAGCCGAGAGTACCAGCGAGCGCCGATATCATCACACCTCCTCTGCTTACGTGCTTCCAAATGAGTGAGTTGCTGTCCCCCCATTCCAGGACGCCTTAGCTTGCAGAAAGGTTATAGTGCTATCGAACAGAATCGACTTGACGCCCAGGCGGTTGCCATTGTCGAAATGACTGGTGGAGTTCCCTGCCTGGCGCCTATCCGGTCCATGACGAATGTGACAAAGGCCGTCGATGTTGGCTGCGGTACTGGCGTTGCAACACTCCAGATCGCTGGCATCTTCCCTTCTGCTAAGGTCTACGGACTCGACATTTCACTCATTCCAGAGGCAGTGCGGAAGGTTGCACCGGCGAATATTGTCTGGGCTGTGGGAAACGTCTTAGATGTCGACCATGACAAGCCTGGTGATGATGTCATGAGTCGTGAGATTTTCACTTCTGGTGGGCTTGATTATATTTTCGGTCGTATGCTTTTCCTGGGGATCAACAATTGGTCGCGATATTTTTCCGCTGCCTAAGTACCACTCGTTGAAACCTGGTGGCATCATTGAGCACCAGGACTTGGACTGGGATTTTTTTCGTGTTGGGACATATGAATGTCTTAGTGATAAGTGGGAATGGCACCGTGCCGTCATTTCAGGGGCCGAGCAATCTGGTTTGTCAACACGCGCGGGCACTGATGCTGCACCAATCATGAAAGATGCTGGGTTGGAGATCATAAGCGTTCAAACATTTGAGTTTCCATTTGTGCCGTCGAGGAAGACGCCAAATAGTCAGACTATGAGCGAATATGTACAGGCTAAGCTAGTACCAAATTACCTAGAGCTGCTCCGAAAGATGCTGGGACCCCAGGGCATCACCGGCGATGAGCTGGAGAGATTGACTATGGGCAGTTTCCGTGACATCACCTCTGAGGAGGGTTTGCACCAAAAATATACTGTTACGATTGCAAGGAAGCCATAGACGAGGAATCTTTGTCAGAGTCCTCCAAATAGCCAGATAGCTTCGTCGAAATGGTTATTGTCCTCTCTGGCCAGTATGATCACAAAATTCCTTTGGCATCTGGTGAAAACTGTTGTTGCCCGAAATAAAAATAGAAGCAGTTAGATGACTATTTGATGAGGACATCGGAGAATGTGTCATTTCCCAGTCTCTCCAGACCTGATGGAAATAAACCGAAGATGATAGCACTCAACCCTCTAGTCTCTGTCTCACCATGGTATTCCTCTCGAGCCTATCAAGCTGGCTGGCAATGAAGGCTACTTCTCGAGATTGTCTGACTCTCGAAACCCATCTAATTACACCATTCGATAACAGTCACTAAAGACGAAACGTGGCAGGCTGCTCAACGGACGATTTGTCATGGCGAAACGGAGCCAAGAAGAAATGTTCTCATCGACAGACAGAGAACGGAGACCGATCGCCAGGTAAATATAGCTCAATGGCCAATCATTTTCATCAAGATGTTCAACCAAACTTGAATCGCCGAGCTTACGACACTTGGTCAGCTGTTTCTCAGTGCATATCTGATCTCCTCCTCGGGTCGTCCACTCAAATCCAGACTGTTGCTGTCCAGCTTAGTAAAGGCCAGGAACACAAACGCTCCCTACCATATCTGCAAACACTGAACTTGATGCTCATAACCACTGATCTTCTCGCAACAGCACTGGGAAGACAATGACCGGTATAATCTCAGCAGAGATGAGTGTACCCTGGGATCCACTATCTACGCACAAAGCCATGGATTTAATCCTACACAGCTTGGGAATACTGACATCAGAATCGGAGCTTTCATCCAAAATGAGCGACCGCTAAGTTCCTAGAAGGGAAGCCAGATTCGGGCAAATCGGTATGACGAGTCATTACAAATTATAATAAGCAAGACAAGGACGTCGCTAAGACACCCAGAAAGAGAGCGCAAAGAACGCGAACAAGCAACAGAAAGGAGAGAGCTTGTAACATGGATGACTAGAAACATCACCGCGGTAGATAGAAGGAATATTCAGGTGTTTAGAAGTGAGAAAGGGAAGACCATCATCCGTCATGCTCACATTATCTGTCTGACTCTGTCTGAGAGAAAATTCTGGAAGACAAAAGTTATAAGCTCTAAAGAAAGAACTAGGCAGACAAGAAATCTATAAATAAAAAGAGCGACTCTAAAGAGGCTTTTCGGCTGGCAGACCCTGATAGCCCAGGGAGAAAGGGCCAGGGTGAGGATCTTGTTTCTAAGATATTATCCAGGGCTTTGAGTATGGATTTGGATGTGTAGGTGTTCCCGGGATTGGCACAGGAGCTTAGTTGGTTGCGAGGACGGGAATCATCATCGTCGAGAGCGTGGAGGGTTGCCCAATATCGTTATCTGCACAGACGAAGGAGCTGGTGAAAAGACTGAGAAGGGCAGGTATTGGAAGGTTGGCCATGATTGCCATTTATGGAAGGTAGATTTATGATGGCTTGTGCGGAAAATTTTAAAGTACTTCAAATGGGAGCCCTGCAGGATAAGAGATAACAGGGTGAATATCTCTTGGACAAAGTAAGAGAAGAGCTTGGATTGAAAGAAGCAATCCCGGATGACGGAGCGCGCACACAATATATATAGATATAGAAGAGCCATGAACTCTTGAGGTCCTCGTGGAAGGTGCTCCGAGAGGTTTGGAGTTGTGGTTGTGCTCACAGTCATTTCATGTCAGACACAGTTTGCGAACACATTTTATCAAGGTCTTTATCCACTGTATTTGCTTCTTTAATCTCAGTAGGTACAATCAACCCACCTCGAATTACTACCGCAATAAGTGCCTCCCAGCTCAGTAATGATTCGTTACTGGAATACACAGATCGGTCAAGAGCAGCAATGCCCGAATGACCTACAGCGGTATTTGACCTTTGTGCAGGGTGGTTTCTTTCTACCATGCAATGATATTTTCCAATCCTTCGCAGTTTTATCAAGGCGGTTGGGGAGCAGGTTGATGGTGCCGAGGGCGTTGTTCCTTTTCTATTCGAAGACGGAGACACGGAGGTATGGCTCGTAGGTTATCACGCTAACAAGCGATGGGAAAAAGCGTATGGCAAGGGTACCCTGGACAGCGATTGCGCATTGGAAACGCAGTGAAACAATGCGAGGTCGGAAGAATAACTATTTTTGGAGAGCAGTAGAAGCTGCTTGCTGCGCTTGACGGGTAAATCTTCAAGCATCCGGAGTGTCGGAGATTGAAAACTGTATGGAGTATGGTGCATGGCAAAGCCCTATATCCCGAAGTAGTACACAGCACCCAAGCCCTGACTCCCCGTTTCAGCATATCATATCCGTCCCTTGATCGCTCCCATCTAGCTCACCCACATGAAGTACTAGTGACTTCAAGTTGGGGGGGGAGTGAGACTCGACCAGTTCCACAACCCCCAGCAACCACCACCACCACCACACCACCACCAAGATGACGGAACAAGCGCTCCAGGTAGAGAGAAACCCCCGGTACGATCCGTCGTGCATCATTTCAAACACAACGCTCACATTGCCGCTATTACCATATGAAAATGTTTGGAGCTGCACCGGCATCAAGAGAGACGAGACTCTGCGCACGTCAAGTCATGGATGGATCCATGTGAAGCTGGAACCCTATTTTGGTGAGACTGTTCACGGTAAGAGCGTCATGGTATAAGTACAGAGAGGCAAAGGGGCGCCGCGTGCCTCGGAGACTTGGGTGTTGATCTTAATCATTCCCTCGTACTCCGCGGTACAAATCAAGACCTAATCCTTCTGCTACCATCGCTTTAACTGCTAATATTTCAGGCTCATCGTGCTTCCACTCGGTTGTTCGATCTCGCCGAGCTGCTCAAATATGGCTGAATCTCGTCCGGCTCCGGGTGTGCAAAGGCAAAGTCCGGCGGCATCAGCAGATCCACGTTCAAATCTAACTAGAAATATATCGGCAGCATCATTAGACGCTGCAGTAGTCCCTGACTTAGCGAACCCCCTATTAAGGGTCCCCTCTCAAGCACAACGTGATCGGCAGGCTGTCAGGGAAGCGCATTCATCTCCTAGAAGAGGAGGCGATGCACATTCCGGCAACAGCGGTCCAAGACCTGGCGAGCAAAGTGGTCCTCAAGCTAGTGGAGGTGCTCGCTCGCAATCTGGTCGGGGTGCACAGCCTCAATCTGGCGAGGTAACAGCATCTCAAAGAGCAAAAGATCCGTATCGACATAGCCTTCTGGTAGACCGTCTGAAAAGCAAGGGCCACATCGCACAGGGAAAGCAGCTTCTCTCACGGGCCGATTCGCTGGTGAGGAAAGAGCCCAAAACCGCGTCTGACATGGATATGGCCAACGAGTTACGCAAACGGGGTGACTATCTATGCAAAGAAGGCACCGATAGTGCCTTAAGGCTCGAACAAGAATTCCTATCTTCTTACAGCCCGACCATGAAAGACTTCTACACCCCTGCCCAGGTTACATATTGCACTGCCATCAGAGACGTGTTGAGGGGAGAAGCCGATGCCGAAAAGCGCCTGGAAAGGTTCCGTGCACGTCTGCGGACTCTGTCGTCCGGTTCTACCGTCGAATCAGATGCCAACCTACGATGTGAATATGTCCAGGTCATCGACCAAGAACTGAGATTGATTGCAGGTACGCCTCAGAAGCCGACGACCGGCAATTCAGCTCGGAGGACCAATCCAGGAAGTGTGGTGGAAGACGCTGCCGCTGGGGTCAATGGCCCTTCCCAGGGAGCTGGCCGTGCGACTGCTGTCAACCAAAGTGGCAGCCCATCTAAGAAAAGGGACGCTCCAGATACGTCTGAAAGACCGGCTACAGATGCGATCAGAAGGAACACTTCCCAAGGCCTTCCTCCTGGACGGCCAAATGATGATGCATCCAGAATGAACACCACTCTAGGCATACCGGTTGGGGCTGCTACCCGGCTTACCGCTCATGCCCGTGGCGCTGGGGTTAGTGGTGCTGGAGCAGGCCCCGCTGGCTCCACTGGCCCAGACCCGTTCGCCAATCATCCCGGCTCCAGGCCATCCAATTCAGGTCGACCTATTGCCAGTCATTCTCTTGAACCCCGTCCCGCTGACGCTCATCCTGCTGGCACCCACGCTACCGGCTCCGGTCCTCCTGGAACTGGGTCTATACCGGGTCATGCTGCTCCGCCCACCGGTAGTGGAAATAGTGGTTCAGAAAGAGAGTGTAGAGCTGGTACTACCGGTGCTGGTCCGTCTGAAAGCAGTCGTTCCGATAGCAGCACTGGCGCAACCGGTCCTGCTCGACTCAGTCATTCCGGTGGTAGCTTTGGTACTCCGGGAAGTGCTCCCGGAAGCGTTCGTTTTAGCAACAGTGACTCCGATAGTATCGTTGCTGCTACTGGAAGCCCTCGCGGTATGGATCAATCAAGTAGCCATGGCGGTGGATCGGGGCGGCATCAGAAGGCCCATCATCCTATGCAAAAAGCTTACGCAGTGTGATCAGGGGAAGTGTGAGGTTGTGTGGAGTGGGCTGAATAGTTCTTCTTTGTACTTTTAGATATCTTCGTCTTCTCCTCCCTCCTTCTCCCCTTCTCCCTCTTGTTCATTGTCCTCAATCTCAGGCCCGATCCCTCTTCTATCACCAAGACCATGCCAACATCGCCAAAATACAAAATAAAAAAAATAGATGACCTACGGTGAACCCCCCTCCCCCTCTTCGCTAACAACACACCCAAACCAACCACCCCCATGTCCGTATACACCACACATCAGGCACCAGGGATCCGACCATGCACACCAAAGACCAGTGAACAATGAATGACTTCCTACAATACCCAAATCCAACAAGTCGAAACGGGACCGGCCAGTCACTCACTCGGGCACTACATTGACTGCGGAACTTGGCTCATCACTCCCTCCCTCGCTCACTCACTCTCCC